GTTTTGTGTTTGTGTCTTCATAACTTATCATATGATTGTATTTTAATTATTATTGCCGTTATTATTCTTATTTTGTTATACAAGTGTCACAGACACTATTCTTGTTGCAATAATCATTTTTAATCATTTAAAAGATGCATGTTTAGCCTGTGCTCTAAGCAAATGCGTAATGTTTTGTTCTTGACTTTAATGCAATGTTCCATGTGTTTCAGAGTCACATGGAAGCTGAGCATCACATTGACAATGAAGCTTTGGCGTCCAAGTTGTTTACAGAAAATGATCTCATGAAAAATTTAGTTTTTTCCCTCTTGAGTCAATTCAGGAATGGGAATTCATATTAGGACTTGTCATTTGATTAGTGACAATGGAAACTATCCAAGTATTTGTATTAATCTGGTAGTAGTTGGACCACACTGAGTGATTCACAGCTCATCTCTGGTGTTGCATAATCTCTTTAGCATCCTTCTCGGTCGACATGGGTGAAACGTTCAACTTGAGGCCAAATACTATTGCAAAACGAGGAACTCTGTCTGTAATTACTGGGGACATTGTGGTTGATATCAAACAGCAAAAGTATAGAGGTGTGTTTGACATGATGACTGCACAGATTCTTACAATGCCTGCAATATTTCTGAGTGTGGGGCTACAGATCTCAATTGTCAATATACTACAAAATATATTGTATTAACTTAACTGAACCATTACCAAATTCATCAATTAACAGCAGTTCAATACAATACAGTCAATTGTTTTGATAATGCAATAAAAACAGAACTGTATTAAATTAATAAATAATCAATAATACATACAGTTTACTAATATCAGGTGTTAAGTATTGATATAAAATCAAGGGATTAGTGCCTGTATGACGTTTAATATTTCTCTCACCATTTCTACATTTTAAGCCAACAGGAACAGCTGCACTGTACTGCTGCTGTTGTGCCCTTGGAGGCTCCTGACCCAACCTTGCCCACCATTTACAAAAGAAAGACCTCTTCCACAATATATAGGATTACTACTGGAATAACCAGCTGCCTTAACAACAGATACAGTTACTAAACAGGGAATATTTAATCCTTGCTACCTGACGTGCACTTTGAAATCCTGCCCCTTTAAAGGATGAGCATATGGGATTTAAGATAGAATTACCAAGATCATGTGCCTGAAATTAGTTCCCAACAGTTTTTGTTACCAGTAATTTTTGTAGTCATTGTATCTGTTTTATTATAACAAACAGCCAAGCTTAATTTAGTTTACCAAGTTAAACATTATTCTAATTATTACCCAAATATTACCATCTAAAGGTTATTCAATTCAGCAGTTTAAAAGCATGAGATCCTTGATTATCCATCACCAACACAACATAGATTATAAAGAGGATTTCACCAAGAGTCATTTAGTAAGTTTAAAACCGTTTAATTTTTACACTGTCTGAACACATGGGATTTTCTGATCAGGTGCTCACCTGTGTGTTTACAGTAGGCCTATCTGCAATGATGGGAAGAATACATTGAAAATATATTTAGTTACAGAATACCGAATACCTGCATTATAATGTAACATTTTCAATTACATGGGCCAATTAGAGTACTGTTTTCTGAATACTTAGAATACATTTACATCGAGTTGCATTTAAGTTATAGTGTAAAAATGCAACCTAGGATTAAAAAGAGCTTTATGTTTGTTTCACCATTTGTTTTGCATCTCTCATCATTAGTTGTAGGAGTTAAAATCCACACATCCACACGGTGGCTGTGAGCTGTGTTTTCTGTTTTTCTCATTGATTTTGTGCAGTTTGATGCCTAAAAGTACTGCAGTGTATTCCTATCATTCTGAGAAACTGTATCCTGAATATCACCAAATGAAAAGTAACTGTACCTGAATACAGTTACTCAATATTAATATTCAGAATATATATTCTCAGTACATGTATTCAGTTACTTCCTAACACTGCCTATATGGCTCATCATCATCAAAGAAGCAATTTGTGATGTGATGTTTTTATATTATTAGCTTATGAAAGTATAATTTTATTGAAGCTGCTGCAACAAAATCATTTCCATCGAGGATCAATAAAGTATTCTGTGTATTTGTGTTGTGTATGGTATTATGATCCATCTCAAAGTCATAGTTTATAAAAGGTGTGCAGTAATACAGACCTGTGCGGCGTCAGTAAAGTTCACACATTATCATTCTGATGGAGAAATTGCTTCGTCAACACTGTCTTTACGGGTAAGGTGACAGTGTCATGTGGGGGCAGTACTGTTGTAGGCAGGAATGTGAGGTACAATGAAGGGCATTTAGGAGGCACACCACCATTGTGTTTCCCTGACTAGACTCCTGAGACTGAGAAGCAGCTCGTAACATGTGCTTTCTTGCACTTTTACTGACACTAGGATTGTTGCGCAATGAAATTAACAGAAAATCTCTAAGAAAAATATAGTTTAAAAATCTTTTGGTACAATATTTTCATGATATACTTCTCATGGTACAATATTTATTGAATTATTTTGTGGAGGCTAACAAAACTGTTAATATGCTAATTTTTCCTTTTTAAAATGCCTTGACAAGACTGGCTCTGTCATCATCCAAAGAATTAAGATTTAAAAGTGCTTTATGTAGTCTACACTGAAACAGAGCAAAGGATCATGGTCTATGTAGTTTCCTCTGTTTTTAGCTATTGCTGCACCAAAACAAAGGGTTTACGCAAAGAGATTTGTAATTAGATATATTGTGACAGACAACAATATTATTGTGAGAGTTTTGGCGATACGATATCACAATATTTTGGTTATTGTTACACCCCTATTAAAGAATAAATAGACCCTACAGCTCAGCTACATCTAAATTAAATATATTTCTTATATTTCAACACTAAAAGCACTGTATGATGTTCCTATGAAGAGCTGCTTGAATTGGCATTGTTTGTGTTGGTAGATAGGCAGTAAACTCTGGCTCATGACCTTGAGCTATGCGCTTGCAGTGACGCTCACTGCAATGTTACACAGGGACAGTGGCTGCAGCAGGCTGGAGGAGATGAGGAGATTTCTGTCAGACTGTACTGGTTATCTCTCAGGTAACTCAATAGGCACACAGCCATGCCAAATTGGATGCCCTTCTGGATTAAAGTCCCTAAAGAAATTGATTGTGAATTGATATATTTTGAGTTAGTTTTGTCTCTCAGTTGAAACTGTTATGTAAAGAAGTTTGTACTCATGCGAATAAGTCTACTGCGCAATGCTTATGATTATACTGTAGTTAATTTGATGATTAATGGCTGGACTGACAATGAACTTTCACATGACTATAAAGAATATGCATATAAATGAAGTGCCATTGGCAACTTTTCACTGAAGGTTGAATTTGACCAATTTTATAATGATATTATCAGGATAGTTTATTGAGAAAAGGGTCTATAAAATACTCACACAATAAGAAGCAGAAAATGATATTGATATTGTCTAAAGAAGACTCCTGGTTGTTACTGGGGTTGTAAACAAAAGCAGTGTAGAACAGATGTGCAGTGCTACAAAGCTATGACAAATGCTGTATCAGGGGGAACGCACAGCCCAGTCCCTGAGGTGAGGTGGGGGTGGACTGGATGATCCTGCATGTGGATGCTTACACGGCAGGAAAGAGAGGGTCCCACATCAAACTGTGATTGGCTGGTGCAGAGTAATTGTCCTATCAGAGTGGTGCTCACTTTCTCGCTGTGGGAGGGGGGAGCATAAAGCCAGGTGACCACTTACTTTTAAAATAGTTACTTGCACCGGTGTTTGTGTTTGTTTGCCACAGTGTAGACATGTTTGCAAGTATGTGCGGCTAACTCTGGCAGCTCTAGTTTCTTATGGGGTGTTAAATTACCCAATGGGTGCTTTAATAGAGCTAGAGTCACTCTTGATTGTGAGTCTGGATGAGAGAGGTTGAAGGAAAGAAGGGAAAACAGCGTGAAGCTGCCAAGAAGAGTAAAGAGCCGGGGACATGGTGAGTGCTGCAGACCCCACACGGATTTAAACTTCAAAATACTATTTTATGTGGTCAGTTTTTTGTGTGTGTTTCTATGCTTCCTACTTAGTTGTTTTACTTGCTACATCACATTTTGTCATTGAGGTGAATAGAAAGGTCATTAGCTCCAATTTTTTATTTTTTATTTTTTGTAAATGTCAGTCCAAGCTCTATGCACAAACTTACTGGTACAGTTTCCTCTACTTTTTACAATGTCCCTTTGTCTTGCTGACTAAGCAGAATCAATTAGACATTTTAGCATAAACCCTGCCATGGTATCCTCATAAAGAAATTATGAAATCTTAATCCTAGGGACTTTTATGCGACAATGCACAAGTACAACAGTGGAATTAAAACCAGATGAGTCTTTCAATGTGCGCAGGGCCCGTGGTGTCAAGTGGACACAGAGGTTGTGGCTTAAAAGCGTGTGGCAGGGTATGGTTACCTGTCTGAACCAGACAAATGGAATGATAAGCAGCTACTTAGAGATAAAGTAAATGTGACGCTGCAAGACTACGCACAACAAGACTGGGCCAAATTACCTAAGTGTGTATTTAGACACACTCAAACAATTAGTGAGAATGATACATTTAATGTCAATTTCTGTAAGAAACCAATGCACTCTGAATGTGTTGCACATTTTCAGTGATACTTGTATCTTTATGGTCTAAGCACTCTCAGTTGGATTTGCAGAGTTTGGATTTTGTGTAGGCCATGCAACAAAAATCTCGAAAAAACTGTACAAGCACAGTATCAGATGGCTGCTTCCGTGCTGATGCAAACAGTAGCTGACAAATGTCTTAACTGACAAAACTGCACCATTTAAGACAAGTTTGCTTTTTTTCCTAAATAGACTGCCCACTGGACCGAGAGTAAAAGCCGCAGACATCAGCCTGAATGATTACGGCGAAGAGAGAGGCTTGGAAAGACATTTCGGAGTGGGATAAGTGTCTCCAAGGTGACAGACAGAGCTGTGACTAGCAACAACACAAACAATGGAGGTGCCTCTCGTTAATTTTGAAAACATGGATGATGTGGGTATCAACCTGGGTGACCCAAGTGACTCTGGATACCCGACCTCACCCACCTCAGAGGCACCGGATCAGAATCTCCTTACACATCGTCTTTCATCACCTCATCAGTCGCCGCTAAGAGGGAGAAGGCGGCATTTGTCTGGACACGAGGGGCTGTCCCCGACCTCCCCTACAACTGTGACCACCAAAGCAAACTCCAGCAGTGGCAGTCTGATTTCCAATCTGAAGCTCCTCATTAACAGTGAGTCTCCCACAGACAGCGTCTTTAGTAAAATGGTCAAAGACTGCTATGAGAATGAGGATCTCTTTGACAAACGCTGCTTAGAAGAAAGAGATGAGAAAGTTGTTATCAATATCTCAGGCCTCATGTTTGAGACTCAGCTCAGCACACTAAATAAGTTTCCAGAAACACTTCTTGGTGACCCGATGAAGAGGATAAGCTACTTTGACCCAATGAGAAATGAGTACTTTTTTGACAGAAACCGCCCATCTTTTGATGGCATTCTTTACTACTATCAATCCGGAGGCAGACTCCGGAGACCGGCAAATGTTCCTTTAGATGTTTTTGCAAATGAAATACTTTTCTATGAGCTGGGTCATGAGGCCATGGAGCAGTTCAGAGAAGATGAGGGATTTATCAAGGAGCCCGAAGTTCTTTTGCCTACCAATGAACTCAAACGACAGTTCTGGCTGTTGTTTGAATACCCCGAAAGCTCCAGTGCAGCCAGATCAGTGGCTCTCGTCTCTGTATTTGTAATCGTTATCTCTATTTTCATCTTTTGCCTGGAGACTCTCCCAGAGTTCAGAGAGGACACTGACACCGCCGCAAGTGTTGCGCACTTTGACAATGGGACTCAGGACAGCGCTGCCACACAACCCAAAGACATAATGGCATTTATCACAGATCCATTTTTTATTGTGGAGACCATTTGCATCATTTGGTTTTGCTTTGAAGTGGGTGTCCGTTTCGTGGTTTGCCCCAGCAAAAGTGATTTTTTCAATAATATTATGAACATTATTGACATAGTATCAATAATTCCTTATTTTGTAACACTGGGAACTGAGCTGGCAGCACCCCCTGAAGATGATGATGGAAACTCCAATCAAAACATGTCATTAGCCTTTATTCGGATAATCAGGCTTGTGAGAGTTTTTCGCATTTTTAAGCTCTCGCGCCACTCAAAAGGACTTCAGATCTTGGGACAGACCTTGAAAGCCAGTATGAGGGAATTGGGGCTTCTTATCTTCTTCCTTTTTATAGGAGTCATCTTGTTCTCAAGTGCCATCTACTTTGCAGAAGTGGATGAACCTCAGACACAGTTTGTGAGCATCCCTGATGGCTTCTGGTGGGCGGTGGTAACAATGACCACAGTAGGATATGGAGACATGTGCCCAATTACAATGGGGGGCAAAATGGTTGGTACTCTGTGTGCCATTGCTGGTGTTCTGACCATTGCCCTGCCCGTCCCAGTCATCGTCTCCAACTTTAACTATTTTTACCATCGAGAGACTGAGCAGGAGGAGAAACAGATGATGGATGCTGCCGCTGAGGCAGCTCAAAAATCATCAGCTGCAAATAAGTATGGGAGCACGCCTTCACTCAGTAAAAGTAATGGGACATGGCAGAATGAGAAGAATGGTATGCACTGATGCAGAGACAACTTAATTTATAATGAATATTAAAATCATAATTATAAATATTTTATTATTTATGTTTTATACAGGTGGTGAATTAGTGCATAAGATGACAGTATTAATAGGCACTGTGTGGTGGGGCCGCCTTACACAAGTTGTCTGTCTTCTTGTGGATGTGTCAAAGTGCATTTAACACAACTTGAAAATGTCAAACCTGGGGTGGTATGTGAAGTTTCATTATCATCTTCATCTGGAGCAGTTTGAAATGAGAAAATTGAATAGAGTACATATCAAAGACAAATCTGAGAGTGATGCAGTAGTTTAAAAACAAGATGACTGAAGAAAACTGAAGCATTTAAACTTAAATATTTGTATAGTTCACATTACAGCATAGTCCAATGGTACTCTTCTCTTCATCATAATCAGCCATTGCAAGGTAGTGTCAAGGGCAAGAACGCTGTCCAGTGTAAGTCAATGCACAAACATTGTCTTCTCAGCAGATCTATAGCAGTGAACCGTCAGCTCGCAGCAGCTCCCCATATGACGCAGCGTAACAGTATCTAGGTGATGAATAGCTGGCATGTTAGCACGTCGGCTGTTAATCTTGTAGATAGGCTGCAAAGTAGAAAATGAAACTAAAAACTGTTTAGCATGCACAGGCATGCGGCTGTTGAGTGAAACATGTCATTATTTAAAATTTAATTATTAATATTTATGAAACCTACATCAATAACCCATTAACAAAATGTGAATTTACCCTTTAAAACAATATCAACAAACTGCACTAAAATGTATATTTTCAATTACATAATGAGCACTTTGAAGATTAATATTAGTTGGTGTTGGGAATAAACAAAGAAATATATTTTTAAAATTACCATTATTTAAATGTCACTAAATATATGATGTGCTCCTCTTTTATTCAAGAGACTTGAAAATGACAGAATGTAATTTTGAGAAAGCACTTGAAGGGTTAAAAATGGGCTAAGACAGAACTTGTCTTGGATGGTATGTACTCATCACTCATTTGAATTGCATGGCATTCTGTGCCGAAGGGAATTTAGCATCAACTATAAGGACTTTTAAAATATGTAATGTACTTCGTATTTGATGATATTTTAATCGTTATAGTAATAATTTTTATGCAAAAAGAAAGGCCAATATTTAAAATGGATATAAACAAAATATTTATGTGTCTTATGAGAAAATATGGTTCTATATATGCATGCTTCATTTCAGCCTTGAGAATGTACTGTATGTGACTTTATTATACATGAATACAGCTTGTGTACTGTAAAAATATAGTAGTACCTCAGCCGTTGCCTTTGATTATCGTATGATATGCAATAATATTAATGGCAATAATAATAATATTATCTGGATGAAAACTTGAAGGCTTTTTGGTTGTTTTCAGAATCTAGAATGTGATGATGTATTAACACACTCAGGTGAGGGGCAGGAAGCTGTGTTTTTCTGGTGGCTTATTAATTACAGTGTTCATTTAAACTATATCAAATGTAAACCTAAAAAAAATGGATAATCTATATTAAACGAACCATCTCTCTGTACTATATCATAAACTCTCCACAGCATATATATACAGTTTACCTGCTCCCTATCTGAAATAACCACTTTAGGCCAATAGAATGTTGTGACGTCACCTGAAAACCAGCAATAATTTTCTGAATGTAAACTGCATTGGAATGAAATTAGCACTTTAGTGAGTTACAAAGCACTTCATGTTTTGAGGACTGTTACTGTATGTGTCAATAATGTACAAAAGGTAACATTTGCTATGATCTGTTAAGAGTGCCTTTCAATAAAGACATATGCAAACTCCATCAGGCATCCCCAGTCACTTCATTTCCCTGGTTAAATGTGATAGACTGTACCTACTAAAGTGATGTTCTGTTTGACAATAATAGTACTAAAAACTATGTGTGAGCAGTGTGTGACTTGGGGTCTGAATATTCATTATCGCCTCTTGTGAGCTGCTATTAACACATTTCTGCTCTGATACTGATGTTGTGGTGGCATTCCTGACTCACCTGCCCCTTTTCTAGGCTTATATTGTTCAGTGTGTTTTAACATATACTCAGATGAATAATCAAATCAAAGCATTTAAAACAAAACATTACCTTTATAGACATTAATATAAAGGGGATATAACCTGTATCTACAAGCAGATTACTGTAAGTAGAATATAATAATTTCCACGCTGTATGCAAAACAAACAAACAAACAAAAAAAAACAATACACAAAACAAAATACATCAGTGAAATGTACATTATTACCTGCTACTTTACTTTTGTTGTAAAAAGAGGTATTCCCAGAAGCGGTGTTGTTTTAGCACACAAGTAATGTGGTGCGATTAATCGACTTTTTACACAGTTACTGCCTACTCATAGGTTGGCAGAACTTGTGTGAATAGCAAGTGCTTAATTAAATTCACTGCAGTCCTTCTGCTTCTGTGCTTTAAAGGCCCTATATTATGCTATTTTTTTATCTTATCCCCATCACAAACATACTTGGAGTTGTATTTTGTTTCATTCACACATTCAGCATACAAATCCTAAAAATTTGAACAGCATTCTCCAGTCTGAAAACACTCAGTTCCCCATTGTGATGTCATCAAATGGTAACACAGGAAGCACACTTTAATTTTATATTTCATACTCGAATTTGCAGCCCTGTCATTTTTAAACTTTGAAGCAACAGTTATTGTTTTAGTCTTTTTGAAACTACAATTCTCTGTACACCATAAAATATTGGAAATTTACTGTGGAAATCTCAACTGAAAGATAAAAAAAAAAAAAAGAAAAAAAGACAGACTAATATTGCAGGATTCCTTGAGTGAATGAAACACAGCACAGCTCTGGTTATGTTTCTGATGAGGTAACAACATTCTAACATGGCTAAAAAGAGTACATTTTGTAAAATGTGGGACCTTTAAAGTTATAAGCTGCTGAGATAAATTTGTGTATAACTTGTGTATGTAAAGCTGTAGGTTACAGTTCATGTTTTACATTTTCATTCATCCCAAAAAGCAGTTTATAGTTTGTCTCTGGTCAGTTGTTTAAGTACTTCACTGGTGTGAAGTCTGCGCAGCTCAGTGCAACTTGTCACTAGTTAACGTTCAGGTCACTGGGCCACCCTTCTGGCCTGCTGATCACTGATCGTAGTGATATCTCATGGACAAGCTCTGATCGCTTTTTAACATTGGGCAGACAGGTGGATCTCAAAAGGTCAAAGCCAATGCGCAGTTGTCATCTATTATTCAGTAGGTGTTCTACGAAGAGATCACATCCATTGCCTCTTTGATAAAGGATCGCCCAAAGAAAAGCCTTTCTCTGAGCAGCAGATGGGTCGATCAGTGTGACTCAAATCCCATAAACTAGCTAAAAATAACCATGTCTGTCCCTAAGTCGATACAAAACTCAAGCCCAAAACACCAGGCGAACCTCATCGTATCAGCAGGACCCATATCAGTAGATTGAGTTACTGTTTTGTCAGCAGACTCATAAGCCAAAAGTTAGACATGCACAGACAGCATGTTGTCCCCCCAGAGGACAAGTGGATCAGGTCAGTTTGCGTTAAATGTCTGTATGGGCTCAAATTTCTTCCAGTCAGTTTTATGTTGGGCTGGTTCAATGTTTCTTTTCCAAATTATTGTTGTTATTAAAGTGCTGTTTGGTGCTGATGTAGTCTTGAATGGATGGTTAAGACTTCCCCATAGATTAAATATTGATTAAGCTTGTTTCTCACCTATTACTTGGGCCCTAGGTTTTGTGGTGTGTGCTCCTGCTGATCCATTACATTTAAACAGCTTTGGTTTTGCTTTTATAGCACATTATTAACTAAAAGTTCCTTATATGATGAGATTGTGCCCCCAAAAGCAATATTTAAGAAAACAAGCAGCACAGTATATTTTGAATGCATACAAGCAAGGTCGTCCATCTGCTATTTCAATACAGCACAGAAGGGAGGGTGACAAGAAACTCCTTATACACACTTAAAAGGCAGAGCATTTTTTTATCAATAAAATAATAGTTTTTATGGATATAAAAATGCTATATGTGTTTAGTGCCATTAGTGTGAGAGTAATTGTGTGTAAATTATACAACACTTTTCTTAATAGGACTTTTTTCCCTACACATTGTTATTGTTACATTATAAGTTTAGGTAGCTGACTTTTCATTTTTTAAAAATAGGTTTTAACCAGTTGATGTTCAAGTTGAGCAAAGCCTCTTTTATTGTTTTAGTGTAATTTCATGTAATCCTTATATTGACAGACTTCATTAAGGAGATTGGTCCCTAAAACTTTTCAATTATTTAAGTGACATTTTGGTCCTGTTTAATAATTCACTCCCGATTTAAGACAGAATTGCAATGACCACTGTTAAAAAGCTATGTCCATGCACAATGATTAATAACTGGCAAATCTTTTGGGCTTAAGGTTATATTGTATGCAAAGATAATTTATAACTTTGAATGTTGATATTTAATAAGGTATTGTATTTTTCCTGAAAATGGTGCAAAGTTCCATTCATCACTGTAAGGAAAGTATGTATATAGCAGCCCATAATGATTCAAGCAGAAAGAGATTTATGACAGGTAGGAGTGTGGCGAGTGCTCGGTGCAGTGCGCCAGCCCTCCAGGTCAATGACCAGACCTTGCGGGAAGAAATGTGAGTCTCACATTTGTCCTGCTTAGCACCCATGAAAAATGAAGAAGGTGACCTGAAGTATCACCTGGGAGCAGGCTCAGTGCCGTAGCTTTTTACATTTGAGACAAAGACCAATTAGACTTGACAAGTAACAAAGTATTTCTTACTTATTTGTAAAGGTTGATAAATCTGGATAATGGGACATGGATAATTACCCTTATGACACCCTTTACAGAAATGTTTATGGGATCTTGTCCAATATCAAGTCTTACCAGTGCCAATGTAATTTGTATGAAACCTATAAAGCAGTAATTGCCTTGGATTTCCTGTTAAACAACATTGAACGTTCTGTCATACAGGACAGAGTTTAGGTCTGCTGCTGGAACAAACCTCACAGTTTAGGTTCCAAATATAAAAACTGAAGGCTGGCGCTGATCTGCTTTCACCCGCGCTCTGTTCTGTAAATGCTTTCACCACAAGGGGGAGGGAACCAACTGGAGGTTTAGCCAATATTATATTAATTACGTAAAGCCTGCCCTCTTGTGGATTATGTGGGTTACTACATCACCCAACTTGCAGGTTTCTATGATTCTGTGCATGTTTGGTTGGTGCATGTTTATAAAGCATAAAATGCCTATGACATCTTGCTCTGAGCTACATCTGGCATATTTACGTATTTACTAGTTGTTTGTTGAACACATGTGCTGTCACATAAAAAATAAAATAAAATGAGTGGACGAAACTTGATGCAATATATACATATAAACATATTTAAATTTTTCTCTGTAAGCTGTGCTTTTTTTGTGTGTGTGTGTGTTGTGCTTCTGATTTTAGTAGACGTTTACATCTGGGCAAAGGTTTTCTCTGAATGACAGAAATGAATTTTTCTTTGGTATGGATCCTACCAGTACAACTGAAAGATTATATGGGCACATGATCATGATTCAATTTGATGAACTTTTTCTCTTTACCGTGTGAAGGTGTGCTGTGCTACATAACATTGCATAATTTGAGTTATAGGATTGTTCTTCCTTGTTACATCATAAAAAATTATTACGATGAATCTCTTTTTCATTCAATCTAATTGCAACATGCATTTCAGTGATTCCAGCAATAAACACCATAAATCGTTATAATACTTCATAAAACTGCTGTTACTGTTACTACTTATCTTGAGCTATGGTTTTACACATACAGGAAACAAATAAAAAAGATGTTTTCTAAATGTTGGAACTCAAGGTGGTGAATTGAAAGAGACACACTAAAGATATTATTTTGAATCAAGGTATTCTTAATATTCTGGCTATCTTATTGCCTTGAAATTATATAAATCAGTCAGTTTCTTTATAAGTTGATCTTAATTTACTCAAAAATCTGATCAAATATTAAGTTTCAATTTCCATTTGTTGTTAGATTAATAATTGATAAGTCATAAAAACTATGGACACATCCTTTACTGCTGTTAACTGCCTTTCCTAGTTACAATACCAGATAACAAAACCATAAAAGAAAAACAAAACTTTGAACTTGTTTGCAAGCTCGTGCAGTACTGTATCTATGTAACTTTTTCTATTTTTTTCTATATTGATTTGATTGTTTATATGTACTAATACTCTGGGTAAAGTTTGTATGTAGGCATGTAGGCTATGTATATATTTAGTTATGTATTTATTATTATTATTATTATTATTATTATTATTATTATTATTATTATTATTTAATTTGCCTTTCACACATCATTAAAAGCATTTATATTCTCTGGCAAAAAATTTTTTTTTTTTTTTGGTTGTGCTGTGAAGTCTAGTTTTACATTTGGAAAATAGAGGTGTGGTGAAACCGTAAACAACTGCAGCCTGACGTGTGTCTCACCTTCACGTTTCAGCTGCAAACCAGGAAGAAAGGTGCACTTTTCCCCGTAGTCCGCCCCCGTTCCGGCAGGTGAAGAGACGTGGCCAAACATGGGTGGGGTATGACGGTATGATCTCTCTCGGGAGAATCCCTTCCTCACCCTTATTACTCTGCGCTCAGTTGCCACGGAACATTTTACGTTCAACGAATCAGTCTCCGGTGTTTTGACACGGAAGATTTGTATGGTCCTTCGCTGTGAGAGAAGGCGAGGTGAGTGTTGCCGAACTGGTACTCAGACATTTCCTCCATTTTTAAGTTTTTAGCCTATTCGTAGGTTTCAGCTTCTAACTATACATGACTTCTTCCTCATTCAAAAGAAAGCCTATAATATTTGTGTTGAATTGTTAGCCTAATCACTATAGCAACAGTCCTAATTTCTCATCATTCTCATTATGCCTATTATCAGTTAGTTTTAAAGCAACATAAATAACTTTCGACTTTAAAGAAGCCTTACTGTTGGACTAACTAAGCTTCCAGTTAGTTTTGCTTGTGCTGTATGTCTTCATTTTACTGAATGTAGGTTTCTTTCCTTGCAGCTCTTAGATCATGGATACACAGTGTGACAAACATAGGCTCAATAACAATAGCCAGCTGATCTTTGTGCCCCACAAAGACACCATTCGTCTGCTGGAGGTGTATGTGAAGCGCAGCCTGAGTCTAAATGATGGTGCCCCAGAGAGGGCTGAGAGGAAGGCTAAATGGGTGACAATGCCCCAAAGGCAGAGGCGACACTCCAGTGACCCATCTATTCACGTTTCTGAAGGATTAGCTGACAGTGAAATAGGTACTTTTGCTGGTGTTGAACCTCAAGCAAATCTGTCAGAGACAATTCCAGAAGAAAAGGAAAAAAATACCCTGAAAAAATCAAAAAAATTCAAAAAGCCATCACTGTGGAAAAGTTTTTTGGAAATTTTCTCTAGGAAGGATGCTGATGAGAAAGATGATGAAAAGGAGAATCCGACAGAGGTTCCTCTAACCAGCACCAATGATGAGGCCTTTGAGGCAGTGCCCACTTGCCTGCCCACTGCAACAGCTGCCAGTGTAACAAGGAGAAAGTCTACAAAGCGACGAACTGTGAAAAAACGTCTCTCTAGACGATTGTCACAGCTGAAATCCAATAAACTTGAAGAGGTCAATCCAGATGACATATCAGTTGAAGGTATTTTATTTTCGTACAAAGAAGAAAGACATTTAAATAACATAAATATACTAAAGTGTGTTTGTTGTGCAGCTGTTATGAGTGTTGAACCAACATACTCATACTATGAAAAGGTGTCAGAGGAACTTGAGAAAATTGTTCACGAGGTCAAAGTAAATGAGGAAACAAAACTTCTCACAGATGGTAAGCATAAGGGAGTAGTTCATGTTTTTTTTTTTTTTTAATATAACACTATGCATTCTGGTCCACATTTATAATCTCTGTGTCATTTTCACATTTTATCTTAGATGACATTATCAACAGAATCATTGCTTTGACAAAAGAACAGGGAGATCTTATTGATATTAAGGTGGGTATTCATTTATACATAAAATGCTATACTTAAGGATCACTTATATATAATCCTTTACCTGATGTAAAAGTGTTTCAACATGCCCCAAATTGTGCTGTCTGTATAAGGCATGCTAATCACATGTCAGGTCAGGCAGCACAGTATGTGATAGCATGTGACTGTGGTTATTTAAAGATACAGTACATTTATTTACTATATTTGTTTATGCTTACAAGAATGGACAGAGGTGTGAGCTCATTATAGCAGACTTTCCCAGATGGATGAATGACTAGTGCCATGTTGCTTTCACTTTTGTTCTCTAGATTAAACATAACCCCACATTGAGCAACTTCTTCCACAAGATGTCATATTCCTCTTTCCAAAGATTAGCAGACGCATACCTTGAAAACGAGGCCTCTCCTGTCCAGAATCCGCTAACAGTTCCTCCCACTGCTCCTGAACTGGTCAAGCTGGCCTTCACCCTGGACTTCACAGCCAGAATAGCTGGGCTCTCCAGACAAAACATTGGTCACATTACTGGCCTCGGGAACCGTTATCTACAGGACAGATTTGAATATAGACAGGTAAAATGAAAAACATACACACATTACATTAAATCAGTATTTGTTGTGCAAGATTTGATTTAGCCTATTTTTACATTTTATCCAGGCATGTTCGGATCATCCGTGGTCTGACTGTGATGACTGAAACGCTGCTACACGAGATAGCTTATTATTAAAAAGTGAACTTTCTGTTGACTGTTTGTATAACCTTTTATGGAAATGTTTGCTAGAAACCACTTAGGTTGCCTTTGTGGACTTCTAGTGATAATGACAAAAAGCATTGGGTGACTTTTCAGTATGTAGAGTTCACAGTTTCTGAAACTAACTCAGAGACGTTTTAACACTGAATGTCATTATGAGAACACTACAGGAGTTGGATTTTATTGAGAAAAGATACAATTAATGTGCAATATTGTTTTATATTTGTTTACAAATGAGGGATTGAAAAAACTAAACTGTGATGTCACTATTGTGTGTTCATGAATGCGGGCATTCATTTATAATTTATTTAAAATAAACTGGTAATTACATTTGTTTGTTTGAATGGACATTTCATTTAGCATATCTTTAAGATCTGTGTCTGTGAATAGTCACATCAGGCAGAAAAAATAAGTGATATCCAGTGATGGGTCTGGTAAAAATCTGTGTTTATTTGTCCTGTATTAAACCTCAGAACAGAAAATCACTTTGAATTGTGGGGTTAACTGAACTATTAATTCAACGCAGATTTTTTTGTTGGCCAATACATTGTAGATGCCCTTAAAATGTTACCAGTTAAAGAATTTACAACTACTTGGCTCTCAGTGATCCTTGCCCCCCTCCCCTCATGTCTGACTCACCACCATGTGATCCATTATCCTTAGCACCTGTAGTCTCTCGAGTCTTCCCATCTTGAACCAAAACTTCTGAGTCAATACACAGATAAGCTCTTGGAAAGTACAAAGAGAAACAAAATTTTTTGCAAAGTAATTGATAAAACTTCATTTGCAAGAATGAGTGCAAAATTGTCTGTTTTACTCTAGAAAACCAGCTATACACATTAAATAGCAGACTGAAAAATTCAGTAAATGAATAGGTGGAGCATTGGTCCACAAATCTGAAGCAGAGCGGTCGGCAGACCAGTTGCAATAGATCGATATATTGGGCTGATATTTGGACTTTTAAGTGTATCAGCTCTCGTCTTTAAATCTCCAGCACCATCACATTTTGGCCAATCTGCTGCCTAAAAGCACCAACTTTCACAAGAAAAGAAAATTGCACAAAATGTATCTACAGTTCCCTCATCGGTTTGTGGTTAAAAAAAAAAAAAAAAAAAAACACTCTACATAGTAGCTCAAAAATAACAGCTTTTGGGCCGCTTTGGATTCTAAGTAACTGGTATAAGCTGTTAAAATACCCATATCAGTCGATCTTTACAGACCACTATTCTAAAGCAGTTACCTGTGCAGTTTTAGACTTTGGGTCTGTTTCTCCAGTTCATAAACTGAGGGAGACCAAAACACTTGAACACTTACATTTTACTTAAATATTTACCCAAATCCTATATTCTTAAATGTCAATAGAAGGGCAGCAAGGTTGAAGATGTTATAAAAGAGAACTTTACAGCAAAGTTGCAACATTTTACATTTTTATTTCTTTTAAAACAAAGAGGGGAAGATTAATCAAAGAGTCCGAATCCCATATCTTCATCAGACTCCTCAGATTCCTCTTTCTTCTCTTCCTTTTTCTCTTCCGCTAAAGAGTATAGTTTAAGTTAATACTTTGCCGCAATACATTAATAGTAAAGGTCAGTGAATCTGAGTGTACATACCAGCAGCAGGTGCAGCCCCAGCTCCAGCGGCACCAGCAGCAGCAGCGGCAGGAGCCGCCACAGCACCACCTGCTGGTACAGAGGCCAACTTGGAGAGGCCTGAAATTGAATGCATTCATTGATAACTGTAAATTTACAACAACAAAAAGGTTTATTCATTGTGACTTCCATTCCATTTACCAGAGTTCATGACTTCATTTATGTCCTTTCCATTTAACTCACTTACGACCTAAAAGCATACAACACCACCATTATTTGACCAGAACATTAACAATAGGTGTGTGTATGAGTATGTTTGTACCTTGTTCAGGCGTTCATCATCGGCCTCGATTCCCACACTGCCCAGAATAGCCTTGATGTCCTTTGCGGAGGGGCTGGTGTTTCCACCGAGAGCAGCCAGGAGGTAAGCGGCCACGTAACGCATTCTGCAACATAAACAGCAATAAGCAAGCGTATTATACAAACAAAAAACCTGAACTAAAATAACTTTAATCCGTAGTGACGGATTAAGACCATTTATCATTGTCATCGTGTGTGCGCTTCTGAATCGTCACTGGAGAGCGCTAAAGCAATGTGGTTCCTTAAGATATAAAAACAAGACTACTGGTGAGCTACATTGCCTGGTTATGAGGAACTACATAATAAGATTTGAATTATTACAGTTTACATTTTTAGAAAGGAAAAAACAATTACATGAAAATAAAATCTAAGTACTCCATGCGAACGAAAACAGCATGGCGCTTCATGTCTGCCAGACCTCCACTTTTGGCCAACAAAATACATCTTCAGAAAGCTAAAAAAAATAACAATCGAAATTCCAAACTAGAGTACGTGGCTGGTTTATACATTGTGTTCTGCCAAATACACGGGAATTTGCTCAGAACTCATATTTTTTTGACTTACTTTAAGTCTTTGCAGACACGAAACGTCGGTCACGCTAGAAATCCGGAAGTAGAAGAAGGAATATCCGGGGATTTAGACAACGAGACAACGGGCGCCACGGGTGCTACTAATTTCTGTTCACTTGCTTCCTTGATTCCTCACCTTAAAATCCCACCCACTAAGGGAGAGCCAATAGAAAATGTCTTGCCCTCTTCTCTATTGGCTCTCTGTATGGTCTATCTACACCGGAGGAATCGAGTGTGGCTTTTAGGAGACAAGTAAACAGAGATGGGGCGGACCTGCCTCAAGCAGCTGTCAAACTCATGCCCCCTTTATGGATGTTATTTTGGCGCGTGCGTCATGCCCATGGAAGTTCTTCATATTCAAGCCTCACCTCCACATCCTATATCTACACTAAACCCTGCTGGTTGTAAGTATTATTAGTTAAATTGATCAAAGGTATTGTTGTCAGAAAATAGAGATTTTTTTTTACACTGTAGTAGTGTTGCTATCAGTCTTTATAAAGAAAGTCCCATTAATATATCACACAATAATCGGTATTCCTGTTTACATTCTGACTGTCTTGCCTCTCCAATGTAAAGCGAACCCCGTTTCTGAATAAGAATTGAAATAAATGCACGTGAATCAATTAGGTTATTAATTCATTTTATTATTATTATTTTATTCATCCCTCAAAAAGTGTTGTTTACTAATATGCTTCACAACATGTTACTTTAAATAACCTGTAACCTAAAAGGGGAAAAAAAAGTAATACTATGGGGCACTACAATTCTATGAGCTCCTCTTGTTTGTCCTGTTTGAAAAGCCATTCAAACACAAACACTAAGGAGTCTACAACAAACTCCGTAATCTTTTTCACATTGGTCACATACCACATTTTGTAAACAAATTCACACAAGGCAACAATTACAAAAACAATCAACAACCCTAGAAAAATCCGGTCAAGGTAAAAATTTATTTTCTCCCTAAATGTCCACTGCTCCCATGGAAGTGAGCGCCGCATTTCAATATATTTACTAAACTGTAGCAAAGCTGCTTGTTCGTCATCCAACACTTCCTCTGGGTTTTCCATGTCCTGGACTTCTGTGGTTCCATCAGTTTCTGCCATTTGTGCTGCTGTGATGCTCAAACGGAAACACTCTGCAGATAAAGTCCAAAATTAGATAACTATCACAGCATATTAGACACTATTCTATACAGACATAAGTTCAGTACCAGTTTTACCTTAAGGAGGCGAGATATTCTTATGAGGAAAAGATAAAGTGCTTAATATAAAGAAGCATTTGTCTGTGCAGTGTCCAGGCTTCAGCACAGCTCTGCCCTGCAGTGTGATAATTGTTAACTACCTCACTAAGACACAGGCAGAGGATTAGACAATGCTTAGCACATTCAAATCCTACATAAGAATACAGGTGACAGATGGCAACATGCACTGGTGTCTTTCCAAGGACTACTAGAGCATATTCAGAGCATTTCTTATGTTAAATGTGCACTTTGTAACTTTCCTAGAGAGGAGTCCACAGTCTGTTTGCCTCCATTGCTTTGTTTAGAATGTTCCAAAAATTGCATTAAATTCACCCACCTCGATAAGGTTTGAGCAATAAAAACAATTAAACAAATGCAAAATAGTATGGTTTAATGCCACACTGCAGGAAATTTCACAAAGACAAAGCCATAACATGTCCATGGAGACAATGGTGGGCCCTACTCTAGAAAATATACATAGAGCACCTTTAAATAATCTGTCAAACGTCCTGAGCAGCATTGTTGATAAATGACAGATATGACATAAATTGATTCATATGACATTATGTGGGAATAATTCAAGCATGTACTAGACCCAGGCAGAAATTATGTGGGAGATGTGATGACAAAGCAGTACTTTTAATAGCCTCTTTAGTAAAGTTGGAATGAATTACTGCAGCCCAGTGCTTCACAGCCTACTCACTGTACTTCCACTGACATATTAAATTAAACCAATCAAATGGTCATGTTTTTTATGTATCCACCCATTTTGTTTCATTTCCTTTATGGATGCACAGCGCAGGTAGACCTTTTATAGAATGAAAAATATTTCTTGGAAACAAACACCCAACACTTTCCCATTATTGATTTTGCTCAGTAAATCTTCTTTAGCTTTACTAAATCTTCATTGCTGCTTTGTACACAGTCTGGACTTGGCAGAATTTCAGCCTCTCTGAGTTATCAGTGCATGTTAGTTAGCCAATATCAAACACATGGTTGGTACATATACTTACAGTAATAATATAATATACAGTATTTTGTAATAGTAAGGATTAAGCAATACTGTCTGAAATGGATATCTTGATTTTTTGGTAATCTAATAACTTTTCAGACAATATTATGTCACTTCAACAGAAATTTGTTAAAATACTTCTTGAATTGTGTTAGTTGAGGTTTAAGTATCAGACAAACGTTAAAGAAGTGCAGAATTGTTAAAGTTTACATTAATTTTATTTTGATTTTTATTCAGGTTTGAATATCGATTGTGTATGCTCAAAACAATGTTCATGACATTATCATTTTGAAAATATGCCCATCTCTAAAAAGGCGTATTAAAGAGTTGCTTTATGGCCATTGACCACTGATATATATGTTTAACAGTCAGTTATTTTTCAATGTACCGCTGAAATATTTATATTATCTGCTATCATTAGTGTTGATGTATTATGTTTTGTCCTTGTTATCATAGGCTGCCTGCCATGTTCTATAAATTCCCAGTGGATTTCTCTATATTAGCTGGTGTGCCTGTAGCACATGGTGTGGGTTGTGTACGTCTGCATAACATGCATCGGCTAGTGATCTCAATTAATGTAACTCTGAAGCGCTTTATCCTAAAGGCATAAACCATGGGATTGACTGCTGAGTTTACATGGGACATAAAAATGCCAACATTCATGGCTACTGTAGGGATTTTGCAGTCTTTGCAAAAGAAGCTGATGCAGTTCATAATGTGTATTGGCATCCAGCACACGATGAAGAAGAAGACCACTAAAGCTAGAGACTTGACCAGCCTCAGCTCTTTCTGATAGTATCTCTCTGCATCACAGGTGGCCTCAGCACGGCTGTTGAGTTGCCTTTTTATCACCCGAAAGATTTCCACATAGAGAAAAATCATAATGACCAGTGGGACCACCACCCATCCAAAGAAGTTGAAATACACCATGTAGTCCATCCTCATGACACCCATAAACGTACAGGGAATGTCGCTGGAGGGATTTAGGGCATCACGGTTATTCCAGCCCGTCATTGGCACCATGCCCGTTAGGAAAGAGAGCACCCAACACAGGCCAACAGCTGCCCAGGCCCTCTCCTGGGTCACTACGGAGCTGTACCTTGGCATAGAAAACAACCAGAACAGCGCATTAGAATAACCCCAGATTGTGTTTGTAAATTTGTTTCAGATCTTAATCTTTCTCATCAGAAAGTAGGAAGTAGCTGACAGAATCCCTTCACTGCTACGTCAGTTATTTAAGCAGACAGACATTTTAATTTCCTTAAAAGCTTTTGATGGCCAGGACATTGATTTGCATTAAACCTGGCCACAATATATAGTTCCTAAGGGCTATCCAGATCTAGTGTAAGCAAGTTTTCCTTAGTTGAATTCTTGTGACTATTTGCTTTTAGTGTTGTTTATTATTTTGGAAGCAGCTTGTATGGATTGTTACAAGTTAACTCTGTCACTCTCAAGTCACTCTGTTTAAATCTCCATACACATGTATATGTGTACATCCATGTATTTCCACCTCTCATCTTATTTAAGTGATTGTCTCCCTCTGAAATACTTCCCATCAAGTATCCCCTTACAAATTGAACTGATCATAAACAAATGTTCTGATTATACCGTCATAAATATTTGATTGCAATCTGATAGTAATGATACATGACACATACTTGGTGGGAATCTTGACTCGTAGATATCGGTCAATGGCAATGGCTAGTAGAGACAAGATGGAGCTCTGGGTGATGATGAGGAGCAAACAGGAGAGGAAAAGGCATGTGTAGAATTGAGTCTTCAGTCCCAGGCTGATGACAATGGCCAGAGGAATGACTAGAAGACCCACAGCAATATCAGCCACAGCCAGAGACACGATGAAGAAGAATGTGGTGTTCCGAAGCGCCCGGTTCACATATACCACCAGAACCACCAGGATGTTCCCCAGCACCGAGGCCAGGGCGATGGCTGTCTCAATGGAGATGTAGACCACATCCATGGACTCCTGAGGCTGGATACCGGGCGAGGAAGACATGCTCACCTCAGCTTTTCAGTTATTCACTAAAAGTTGCTTGAAAAAATGGCTGTTCTTGATGTTAGATCAATTACTCCTTTAGTATTTAACCAAAGTATACCAAACTCAAAGGACTTGTCGCTCCATTGTAAAGACTTTCGAGTCGTACTTCTCCAGCATCTTACCCAGAGTGGTCCCAGTGCACCAGTCTTCAGCATCCTTTTACTCTCTCTCCCTCTATTCTGTAGAGCTATAAACATGGAGGGAGGGACTTTGCTTTCTGCTCCAACCTGCAGTACTTTGGCTCATCTGTGTATGGTTTTGGAGAGGAACTTGATGTAATTATTAGCCCCACTGCATTTCATCTATTTATTAGCTAAGTGAACAGTCAAAATGTGCACTCAGCTTACAATATGAGGAAATGTGTGTTGATGAATGAGCCACTGCACTGCCACAAATGCACCGCAACTAAAGGAAGCAACACCCCCCTGATAATATCTACACATACAGAATAAATTTGTACTGCTATCTTGGGCAATAAACATGACATGAAACTATAGCAAGCATTTAAATTCTATATGTATTTATATCGTGTGCTTTATTCAATTTTTTATTTTTTTATATTTGATTAAATTTTTTTCTCAGGAAATAAATGGGTGAGAAACAACAGAAATTCATGCAGAGAACATGCAATGATTTTGATACATCTTGTGCTATCAGGTGAGCTTAAAAAAATAAAATTTATAAAACATAAAAAAAAATATATTTTATTTATTTATTAAATAAAATTGTATGTATGTATGTATATATATGTATATATATATATATATATATATATATATAGATAGATAGATAGATAGATAGTTGTATTGAGCTGGTAGGTGCAGACTAAGCTGTTCAGAAATCCTGCTGACAAGTTGCTGCTCATAGTGTGCTTTACAAGGTATAAAGTCACACTTCCTTCTTCATATATCGCAGTATATAAGTTGTACTGTGCACCATATTGAGGCACAGACAGTGGTGGATGTTGGAAGTGGCTTTTTTTCTCTTGAGCCTCAGTTGTTACCAGTGAGTGAGAGAGAATGGAGCCAGGTCAGATGGTGTACACTGTGACGGAGGGTCTGATTGGTCTGATCTGTTGTGTGGGGAACCTGCTAGTGATGGTGGTTCTTTGGTCCAGCGGGAGCCTGCAGCAGGAGCCCACCTACGGCCTGCTGTTCTCCCTGTGTGTGGCGGATGCTCTGGTGGGGGCTGTGGTCGTCCCTCTGGCAGTGATGGTAGATGGGCACATCACTACCTCCTTCAGCCTGTGTCTGTTTATCAGCTGTGTGCTCCTGCTCCTCACACTGGCCTCTGTGCTCTGCCTCACAGCTATAGCAGTGGACAGGTACCTCAGGGTCTACATCCCCATAAGGTAACCTCAGTTTGGTTGCAGCTTTTTTGGACATTTTCTTTGACTATATAGACTATTAGTGTATTTGTTTTTATGCTGAAAAATTACTATTGTTGATATGCTGATTTTTCCTAGTTAAAGCTCAAAGTTGTCCCATAAAGTAAACCCCTGAAATGCTAGAAATGAAATGGTTGTCAGTTATCAGTGCATCTCTACACAAAGTTCTTTAAAATGTGTATTGCACCTATATAGACACGACAGTACAGATCATAGGTATTCAAAGATGATATGACTAACTTTAAATTTGCAATGTTATCAGTTTGCCCTTTGGTTGATATTTTTGCTCCAAAATGACTATATATATATATGTATATATTTTATCTTTTTAAGATACAAAAGAACAGTGACTCAGAGACACTCCTGGTTGGTGGTTGCTGGATGCTGGCTTGTTGCGTTCCCTCTCAGCTTCACTCCCATGTTTGGATGGTACAACAAGGAAACTCTGGCCCACTCAAACAACTCCATTATTCTCTGTCAGTTCATTGCTGTCATCCCCATGTCTTACATGGTTTATTTTATTTTTTTCCTCTGTACACTAATGCCTTTGTTGGTGATGATAATACTGTATTTTAAAATATTGGACCATTCATAGAAACCTGAGAAATAAACCAGGGAATGGAGTTCAGACACAATCCCACCTGTATATGAAAAAAGAGAGACAACTTGCAGCTTCGCTCTTTCTTGTTTTGCTTTTGTTTGCTGCATGCTGGTTGCCTCTAAACATTATTAACTGTATTGCTTACTTTGGCGGGATAAAATTGGTGCCTGTAGCAGCTATATACGTTAGCATTCTGCTGAGTCATGCAAATTCAGCTGTGAATCCCATTGTATATGCTTTTAAAGTACCAAAAATCAGAGCAGCCTATTTGAAACTTTGGAAGAAATATACATCTTGTGGAGAGGAAAGACAAGGGCTGGAGAACAGCCAGACAACAGATTACAACCTCAATAGTAAAGCAGACATTGGTGAGACAACATAAATGCATCTTCCACTTTATATTCATTTGCCTGGTAGATGTATTGTACAGTTTTTTTCATATATTATTTACTCGATTGTCCTTGCTTGACAACATGTTTTCACAGTTGAACATCTTTTAAACAGACAGACCCATCAATAACAGTACAACATTGTAATTTCACATCACACTCAAGATTTATTTCGGGGGCATGCCACTGAAGTGTGTAGTTTCATTTCACCTGTGTAATGTCTCAGTTCAGTTTTATGTTTCATGTAAAGAGCAGTATGTACTACATTTTACAGTGTTAACCACACAAATATTATGACATTTCTCATGTTCAGTCTGTACTCTGAAATAATAAACTCTGCTCTTTTCAATGGCACAAAGTTCTAATTACAATTATTCAATTACAAGTCTACAGTTTTACATCTGAAAATATATTATTATATTATTATTATTATTATTATTATTGTTATTATTATTATTATTATATAACAACAACAACAATAATAATAATAATAATAAATAATAATAATGTGCATTGCAGTAATGATAAAGCATTTGGTGAAAAAAAAGACTGATAATACATGATAAATACTTATGATAAAATAGAAAAAAAAAAGCCATGTTATGCTCGTCAGTGACCACAGGATGGCATAAAGGCACTATTTAAAGTGAGCTCTCCGGACACTCATTGTTCCTTTCAAGGAAGGTAATAGACTGTATAGTTATCGCCTGAGTAGGACAAACCTTATCCTACAAACTATACAACCTACTACCTCACCTTGCTAGGCTCAACTCCAGGCTGCATTAATAGTGCTCAAAATCATTTCTGTTAAACTTATTTCATCTTCACAGCTCTCCATCTGTGGTTGAATCCGTCTCTTTAGGGAAGACAGTAGATTGTATAGTTAACTCAGAGGGAGGACACGATCCCCACAACTATTCAATCTACTACCTCAGCCTTAAGGACAGCAGTAAAGCAGTCAGGAGAGTAACGTGTGTCCACCTGTGGGCAAAAAATAATAACTTTTCATAATTCTTGTTCCAGTATGAACCTAACTGTGATTTGTTAAATCCACCTCATTGCAGTTTTTATTTTTATCCAAATCATGTCTCTATACTTTTACATTCTGTTCTTAGTTGTCTTGCTCTACACAGTATCACCACTTTAATATCACTAGCAATATAGATCTGCTACTTAAACTGTTAAATGCACCTCATTCAGAGGATAACTAGACACAGAAGTGAGTGAGTGGGGAAAGGCAAAGTGTTTTAGTATAGAGATGTACTAAACAGCAGAGTACTGAATTATTAAATAATGAGAGCTCCAGATTGGCAGGTCATCATGATGCCCACCCTTTGGTCTGACTTAGAAATGCAGCTTGTCTTGTAAGTCTTTCTGTTTTAGAGAATGAGGTACAGATATGTGGCAAAAGTGACCAGGCTTGAACTTCAAAGATGAGTCAAATTAAAAATATGAGTTGCCTGACCAATTCCTTCAGTTTCATGTCTTAACACAATGATGATGATCATCTGATCTACCTCCCCTTTAGCAGACACCACATTCTAACATTTGTGTTCTGTTGTTTTCTCTGTATCCATATGCTACAGCTGTAAAGTGTAAAATCTCTGGAGTGCGGATTATAGATGAATGTGTCTGGGTTTTAGTCTATATGCTGTAAAAAGCTGAGAGGAGGAAAGTGCCATCTTTGTTTAGTGTGAAAGCCACTTCAAGTCCATTGGCAGGAGTAGCATGTTTATGATGCCAGCTACAGTCTGGAACAAGCGGCACTGTCTGGGCGCAGAAGCCAACGACTGGTAGAGCTGAGTGAGCACAGACAGTGCTGTGGTCAAGTTTGGGTTCTTTGCATAAATTAGCATGTGAACCGTGGTAGCTGAAAAGATGCAGGGCAGTTCATTACCATTTTGAATTCCTCTTTGGCCTAATTAATGTCGGCCGTGATTGAAATGTTTTGGCATAGTGTGGTCCTGTGGTGTCAGGCCAAGCTCAGTGGAGTTACATGAAGAGGGCACCAGAGAGTCACAGCTCTGATTGAGATGTTGAAATAATTAGACAGTAAATGGTATCAACCCCAATCCAGCTGAGGGGCATGCTACTTAGTCTTTGAGCCAGATCCAAGTGCAGATAAATTTAATTGGCATATGCACTCTTGATCTCTTTTATTATTATATTATTATGAGGCTTTTGTTGTAAAAACACTAGCATTTCAATTTGAATATATCAGTTAATTAACACATTGCATAAAAAAGCAAAGTATTTCACTTCAGCCCACATTCAGCTGATGAGACATTTTAATCATGCTTTCAGCCTGATATGTTGTAAGCATAGCCAGTAGTGAAATGTCAAATCAAAGAAATTATGAGGGAATGTCTATGCGCCAAGAAGCGAAACAAACAAACAAATATACTCATGACATGTTGGCAGAGGTCCATGTTGATCAGCAGAAATCGGGGGCCATTGTGTGGCCTAAGGTTGCATCTTATTCCAGCATTTGGTGCCAGGGAATGGACATTGTCTTTGTGCCAAGCAGAGTCTAAATGAGACAAAAAGGGGTATGACACAAAGGGGGAGGAGAGAGTTTGGAAGAGCAGTGAGACGGTGCCATGTCATAAAGAGGGCTGTGATATTGTAAGGTGGTAAACATATGCTCCAACCAGAGCCTGCCCACTCCTTATGGTAAAGAAAGCTTCATTGTCTCTGAGCAGACCTCCGCCATATGTTGAGCAGCGGTCATCTTTGTGATCTGTTTAATAAACACTGGCATACATCTATACTGACCCCTCACAATGCCATTTTATAACTTTTTTCCAACCTTAAGGCCTAAGTCTTATTTGATCCTTCATTTAATGTGACGACGTGCAACTATTGATTATTTTAGCAGTCGACTAGTCAAACTGTTATTTTTGTTGTATGTTTTGATTTTTGAGATACATAGCTTCTGTATAAAGAATACCAATAAAGTGTATTGTTTATTTTTTTTTTTTTACATTTTGATTTAATAATGCACCTTTTGGCATGTGTTTTATAGCCTCTATAGTCCAGATAACAGTTATAATAATAAAAACTTCAATGATACAATCTGATTATTTTAATAGTCGACTATTCGCAGTTATTGCAGTTAATTGTTTCTCCCCTTGACTAAAGCAACTTGGCTTGTTGTGCAGTTGTAGCATGCGCATCTGCTAAGAAATGGACTTTAAATAGGTTTTATGGTCTTTAGATTCTAAACTTCACATTCATTTATTACAATATACGAATTGGCTCATATCTCCATATACCTTGTATCCACTAGCAGGAATCAGCCCTTCCTTTTAAGTGTTGGTGTATTAGGACATACTAAATGTTTGAAATAAATAGACATCAAGTCAAACTCTTAAGTAAGTAGTTTACAATGCTTTGCAGAAAATGTGTGCTGTGGGGCACTGGACACCCACTGTATAGTTAGTAACTGCTTGAGCTTGAATGGATTTATGACTTATAGCCCGCACCAGTCTGTTTATAACCCGTGAGTTATCATGCTAACAAACAGGAAGCACTGGATGTGTGTATGCCTTATTGTCAGATAAAAGCAACATGCAAAAATGCAGACTTTGATCCTGTAACCACAAAGTCACTCTAACTATGGGGAGGAGAGAAACGCAAATAGCGGAGGATATGACTTCCCAAACAACATGTCAACAGGCTGCACAGTGAGTTCATGTGAGGAGAGTGGGGGTGGGGGGAGGAAAGGCTGGACGGCCATTCTTCCGCTGGCCTCACTCTTCTTCTGTGTACAGTATACCATAAGCTGTCTCTGCACACCACCAAAGAGACTCCCAAAAGCTGAGTCAACTGCAGCAGAGACCAAACCACACAATTTCACACTGTGTGGCATCCAGCTAAACGTTTACACTGGCAACCTAAAGCACTCTGGACGGTGGCAATTATGTCACTGTAAATACAAATAAATCCATGTAAATTGTTTTTTTTGCACTTTTGTCATGAGGAAACAATGAGAGAAAATTGCTGAGTTAAAAACTGGGGCAATTTTACAACACAAGCCCCTTTATGTATGGGACAATGCTTGCATCACCAAATCTGGTTCATACTGGTTTACAAACTAGCGATGCACACAAACACTGTGTTAAGTTTCTAATTTGCTCATTTATACAGCATTTATGTTGGACCATCACATGCTAATTACAAAAAAACTATCATATTTTAAATTTAGTCTTTCATTTTGTGGTGAACCATTGCTGTGGCAAGGCTCCCAGTCTCACCCCTCAAACAGCAGTTATCATGCAACATTCAAACTCCCATCCAAGTTGAGAGAAAGAAAGAAATATTTTTTTATGATCTTTGCTGTATTAATCACGTTTATGTTTTGAGTTTGCCAGTAACGTGTGCAAAATAAACTGTTCTATATTCAAGGACAGGCCTCACCACAGTTCACTGTTGTTTTAGTAAAGAACTGTAAAAAATATATTTTTTTAAAGTACGAACCAAATATCCATTCACAACTCATCTTCATGTCTACGCAATTTTGAGTTAATGTTTTAAACTTTTCTTTGTTAGACATGTACGAAGGAACAATAGGCCTCGTGTTTGGTTCTATCATTGCAGACGTGTGTACAGCGTGGAATCAAAAAGCCAAACTGAATTGAAGCACAAGAAAGTATAAAGAGGAATGTATCATAAGATATAAACAGATTAAAACCTTTAAATACCTGGACACATGTATTTAAAACAGATCCGGATACTGGTCACCTATGCAAAATGAGGCCATGGTTTCAGCGGGCAAAAAGACGGGTTACAGACGACCCAAGAAGGCACTTCCACATCTTTCTCTTTCGCCTGCAAGACGAGAGAAGAAAGGCTCAGAAGTGAACCAGCATGAAGCCCCACTCGAACATGGGCAGGGGCTCCAGAGCAGCCGTGCCCTCCTCTGTCCCTGCCCACTTTGAGAGCACTGCCAAGAGGACAGACGACAACAGGAGATGGGACACAGCAAGTCACAAACTTTGACTCAAATCTCAGCTTTATTTGGGGTCGTGGGAAAGACATAAATACCACAGTTTGAAAAACGGCACAAACAAACATGAAACAAACAGAAGAATCTATTCCAATAGAGTTAAATGAAGGAGGAATCAGAAATCTTAACTTACTGTACAAAGTGCCCTGTAACAAGTTTGACAGATTTATCTTGAGTTTGCCCAACAGTTCCTTGAGCATTGCACAGCACATGAGTAAAGGCTCCTCTCAGATCTGTGCTGTGAAGCCTTTTGTCAGCATTTGGCATCAGTCCCAGGTAGTACATGCCTCACAGTTCCCATTTTCCGTAGTCACCCTCGGCGTCTTTAGCCGTTCTCCACCTGCCTGAGTTTTTGTGTTGAGCTGTTGCTATATAGAGACTGCAACTGCTGTGGTTGTGGTTGCACTAAACAAGGGGAAATATTTGTAGCATACATAACAGAGTCAATGAACTATCTCGATTGTTTTCCTCAATACAGCATGTGTAACTAAATGCGTCAGACAGAGCAACTGAGTGAGAAGTCTCCTTGCAAACTATTTGTGCAAAACAAAGCTCCTCAACAGTCCCAGATATTGATTGAAAACAAGGTGCAAACCGTTTGGCGCCACCAACTCAGTGTGTTTCCTCAGGCACTATCCGAGGCAGCCCTATGTGTGACGTCAGTTCTTCTTTTTCTGCAATAGTCTTCTCGCATATAAATCCTTGCCACAAGCGTACTTTGCTTGCTCCTGTAGCTCTTCTTGTCTAAAAGACTTCATTCATATGGACCTCTGAGATACGATGAAAACAATGCCGGAGGAAAGTTTCTGTGCTCACTCACAAACACACGGTTTATAACAGTTCAGCTGCAAAAGCTTAGGCCAGCCTCCATTGGCACTGGTTCAAAAGAGCAATGCCTCTTTGAGAGAAGCGGTGGGACAAGTCTGTGCAGCACTGTGGGCTGTTATGGGTCGCTCTGACACCAGGGCAGTGACCACTCTCAGGGCTTTCCCACTTGCAGCCGGGGCCACTCCAGCCCCTCACACATCTGTTCACCCATGTGAAGGCTGGAGCTGCTCTCAGTCAGGGGAGAGAAACTCAAGCTGCTGATCTATTTCTTCTTACTTTATCTGTTTCTGCTTTCAATTTGGAGCAGCATAGACTAAAAATAAAAGAAGTCAAAGTAATAACTATAAGTAGTGAGTTAACAGGAACTCTTAACAGGAAGTCTTATCATCTGCTTCTCAGTAGACAAATATGGCCGAGTGACTCCTCATGTGGTTTGAGCAAAGGCAAATGTGTCAAACCACACTCGATCTGTAATAAACTTTAAATATGACAGCATGCAGATGCAAAGATCATTAAAAGTTGAGTTTTGCCCATATGATATTTTAAATACATTTAGGTTACCTGTTAGTTAACTTGTTGTTGCATTAAGAAACAATAACCATGACACACTGATAAGAGTAAAGAGTAAAAATGTATTTTTTTTTACAATCCAACATGATATTTTATATAAGTTTTGCAAAGCCACCAAAACTTGTCTACGCTAGTTCTTTATATGCAAAATAGAACTCAAAATAGAACATTTATATAACTGATGCGGCTAATACTCGTATTGTCACAGCTTATGTAAACTAAAATAGTTTCCTGGATGAACTAGACTGAACTCTAGATTTATCATTGTCTTTCAATAATTCCCCATAATTTCATACACTCTTATTTGTAATACAAAAGGTATTACTGACAATACTGGCATCAAAGCACTCTTGTGTGTATTTCATGGGACTGGCCTCATGTTGACCTTAATTTATTGTCTTGTGTGCTCATAGCTTTATGGATCATTGCAACACACAAGTCTTCAAATGATTCATAAGCTATCCCATGTAATGTGTAGTTGGCAACATTTAGCCTATGGGTATACTATTTGATTTACTATGTCAAGGTTACAACTCCCTATCCTTCTTATTTATCTCAATGGAAAACAAATTTCCTTAAAAGGTCAACATTTAATAGTGTTGGAAAATGTATAAATTAAAGTTTTGTTTTTGTTCTAAAATGGTCAAAAATGTAAATTTTGATTTTGTGATTTTACCCCATTCAAATAATGAAATATTTAGAATTAAACTGCCATGATGAAAGAACCCTTGCCATAGTTTGAAGCCCATGAATACAATGCATATGAAATGAAATAATATAGTCAACTAGTGTTAAGTCACAGCAACCCAAGTCAAATATCTATAATGTTTAGTCCTAGAATATAAGTATTTGGTCTGGGTATGTTTTCATATAAACCTGATTTGCTGTTGTGTTTCCCATTGTTTATCCAGTCATGGGTTGTCACTGGTTTAATCATTCACAAGACTTAACTGAGGTCACGTCCTCACTATGAGCTGCTTCATCAACAAATCTATGTGGGTCCAAACCAGTCTAAAATATCATTGTCATTATCAGACCCCCTGCCCCTGGCCCCCCCCACGGTCTCCCTAAGCGCACTACCTTTATACATTACCCATAATTCATCTGGTTTAGTGTTTGTACAACTGCTCTGAAGAGTCCCCACTTCACTATAACTTTGATTGATGTGTTTTCATTTCTTCCAGCCTTGTTGTTACAGTTGTTGGTATAGTAAGGGCTGCTTTTACTGCCTCTCTGTTAAACTCTCTTGTGCTGCCTCTTATTGCTTCACAAATGTTTACAGTCTTGCTTGCAGTAATAAAATATAACTGTAGTGTAAATGCAGTGTAGTGCACTGTAGTGTTTGTGGTGAGAAACCCATACATTTTGTCATGGTGGCCCTTCAGTAGTTATTGCTACAGTGTTTTTAGGGGAGGACTATATGCTTCTATTTTCAAACAGTTGTGTTACCATTGAATGACTCTCAAATAATCCCTGTGATTTTACAATGTATATAAAAGTATTATCATAAAATAAATAAAACAAACTGCAGAACTACAACTAACTATTTTACACATAGGCTATAAAAATAAGGCTTTGAGCAAACAAAAAAAAACAACAACAAAAAAACAAAAAAACTAAAAAAAAATATGGGCAAAGTGTACTAGCCAATGGGAGGCTACAAACTGTTACTTTCGTTTTATTGTAGTTTATTATGCCATGATTAGTTTCTTGCTTTCCGGCTGCTGAGCTGATGTAATCTTGGGTAACAGCAACATCTTGTGGTCAACAAATGAAATAACAATATGTTTAAATAAGATTTATACTTGAGTTTTTCACTTATTACTTCATTAAGTTCATTGTCACTGCATTGGCTCCCTGTGAGTTTCAGGATCGATTTTAAAGTTCTTTTACTGGTTTTTAAATGTCTTATCTCTCAGAACTGCTTTTACCCTACGAGCCCTCGCAGACCCTGTGCTCCTCCGGCAGCAGGCTCCTGGTCATTCCCAAAGTCAGGACACACACTCACGGAGAGGCGTCTTTTCAGTACTACAGCCCCCGTCTATGGAACTGCAGCCGGAGGAGCTCAGGGCTGCAGAGAACGTTCATGTTTTTAAGAGCAGGCTCAAGACCCACCTTTTTAGCTTTTGATTAAATTCTTATACTTTTACCTGTTTCTATTGTACACATTTTATTATATTTATTTATTTTAGGCATATTTTTTAGGATTTCCAGTGTTTCTTCTGTAGGAGTCCTCTGCATTAGGAGCAGAGGTCGGCTGTGGCCCCGTGGGCTCCTGGAGGAGGGTTGGTGCTTGGGCCTCAGGTGTCTGGGCTTCATCTCTCCCTTGGGCCCTGTGGTGGTTCCTGGTGTTGGTGGACGTCTCTCTTCTCCTGATGTAGACGTCTCCTCTGATGGTGCTTTCTCAACTGGTTCACCTGTATTCAGCCTCACATTTTACTATGTCCGGTTTTATGTATTTTAGAAGGTTAGTGTGTGTGCGTGTGTGTGTGCGTGCTTGTGTGCCTGGGTTGTTTGGTTGTGTGGAGTCGGGCAGGTGTGGGGGTTGGGTAAGTGGGTGGGTGGAAATGTGGGATTGTTTTTAATCACTGTAAAGCACTTTGTGTTACATTTTTGTATGAAAAGCGCTTTATAAATAAAGTTTGACAACAACAACAACAACAACAACAACAGCTATGTTTTGGCTTTCAACAGCTTCCCAGTGACCGACTGATAAAGATAACGGCCAGTATTTTCCACTGGGCTCTCTCCTTCACACAAGACATTCATTCAGAAAAGGTGGGTAAAAAATAGTGTGTCACAATACTAAACTTTTACATGCGCGCACACACCCACACACACACACCCACACGCACACACACACACACACACACACACACACACACACACACACACACAAAAGGTAGTAGTTTGTTTGGTACAATGTGACATTAAACTACTTCTGATATAGATCAAGACCATTCTAAAACTGTACAGGAAATGTCCAACTTTGTCCTATTTTGTCAATATAAATACCAATTCAAATAAGCAACAATATTTTTTATTTACATTGTGTTTTTCATGACACTCAAAGAAGCTTTTATATATATATAATGATAGTTTTAACATCCATCTGTGCCTTTTTTTGGATAAACCTACACCAAGAATACAACAGTATAAACTATAGCTTAAACTGCTTACATTCTAGATGTCTAAAAGTATAAAATGATAAAGCTTTACTGTGATTCCTGTATAAATCAGCCATAGAATGATATGTATTTTCCCAGATGATCTGTGCATGGCTGTGTCATAGCTTCCGGGTTGTGGCACAGTTCAAATGGGACTTGTTGCTTTGTTGGAAATCCTCTTACACACTGAGATCATGTGACCCGTGTTTTGCATGGAGCATTCACTTAGACAGGATATAACACAGAAGGCACTGGAGTGAATCATGTCTCGACCAAATACCACAGTGAAAGAGGCCTGGACTCGAGAAAGGTAGGGCATCACCACCATCAGTAACTCAGTCCTACAGTAGCCTTGTTTTTGTGTCAGTGGTTACTTTTGCCCATTTTCCACTGTGACTTGCCAACTAGAGCAAAACCAATCAGTGGCACAGCCTCTGAAGTTTCTGTCAGGCAGAACGAGACCAAGGGACCATGTGACCTGTGCCGGAAGTCTGACAACAGAGAGCACTAGAGCCAAGTCAATTAGCACACTTCTAGAGACTCAAGCTCTAGGCTGTTGTTTATAAAGACAAATGTTGCATTTAAAGACTAAATATTAATCACTAAAACTAACCATACAAAAATCAGAACAATGTTGGGGTGGGCGATATTGACAAAAATTAATGTCTTGATACTTTGGAGTCTACCATTAACATTATATTCTGGCAAAGCAGAAATCTTCTAAATGTAAAATGTATTAACTGAGGTTTAAGTGTGAGACAAAGGTGAAAGGACTGTAAAATGACTCACACAAGTTTTATTATTTATTCACCTCCTTTGCACATTCATATTACAAACTAAGACTAATTGTGAATTTATTATTCTCCTGCAAATGCTGGTAGTTTGTAAATACGTAAATAAAGGATTGTGGATTTATTATTTTAAATACTATTATCAAACATTTGTACAATATTTTATTCAGGAACCATATATTTATTTGTACATTCATGTTGTACATTATAATTCCCATTTTGTTTCTTCCAGAATTCCTCACATTGATGATTCCGATTCGTCTTTAGAGCAGAAGTCTCAGGTAAGTTTTAAATCTTAAAACAGTACATATGATTTTGGTTTGCAGAACTTCCCCTTGACAGTGGCATTTCATATAATCATCATTTATGTGTTAAGTGGCACTGACATTTGACATTTTAGAACCCTATATGTATTGATCAGAATTTTCCAAATAATTGCAACTAAGTACATATATGTGGCCGGGGATAGAGGGGAGTGAGGGGAGTTTCTCAATTTCAAGCCTCAAATACAGGACAAAACAGGATTACTGAAACATGCATCATTCAATATAAATACAATTATGTAAGTTAACAATGGACTCAAATTTTAAAACAAAGTTTAAAGCTTATTAAAGATGATTTTTCATAATTTGTCTTATTTAAGTTTACACCCATCTTTGCCAAAGGAGTGTCTTGTCGGTGAGACACATATTGTGTCATTGCTATCCCTTATAAACAGCTCCCCTCCCTGCTCCTGAACAGTTGACGTGTCTCTACAAAGCAGATGGCTTTACACATAAATCCTATTAACAACTTTCTGCTGATGGTGATGCAGTGTGGTAGGGCTTTCTCACTCCTTCATTAGATCCACTAAGAGAACAGCATTTTATTTATTACCAAAGGAATAGAAGAGCTCAGTTCAGAAGCTACAACATGTCTGCAGAAAAGGTAATGTTTGGAGCAGAAAAGGTAATGTTTGGCGCCTGCTTTGGGATGCATTTTACAGATATCTCAAACAAAATCATTCTCTTGAAAATGTATTGTACGTTTATTTTATTAAGGAAAAGCTCCTTGAGGTGAGTCACCTCATTTTCGGGGTAAATGTATAATTACCACAGATTGTTTGTGTAATCCCTCAGTCATCCAGATAGGATCCATTTTTTTTATTGAATACATTACGCAGCTCATCCAAGCTGAAGAAGCAGTTTGGATGAATTGCAAAATGTATTCGATCAAAAGACTTTTGTCCACTTGACACAAGTGAATTTGCTAATTACCATAATCATTATCACTAGTACTTGCACTATAAGTGTGTAATGTGATCAATGAAACAGTTATTTGTTTAACATAATATGTTTTGTTGCATAGAAAGTCAGTTGTGACCTGTATGTCAGGTAACTGCTCCAAATGCAAAATGGTAGTGTGTGGTATCAAGTGAAATTAGTGACCTAGCTGAACTTTTCAGTTCAGTTATATACAAAAAATAATTATCTTCCATATGCATGGGTGTTGGTCACACAATTAACTTTTTACATTAATAATTGATTTATAAATGTAATTCATAACAGACAGATGCAGCCAAACCCCATTTGATCCCATTGTTTTTATTTCCATGGATTTTCATGGGCCTAATGATGTACCTGTGAAAGCATGGATCATAGACTGAAGGCTGTAATCCAGCCATCTCATGCAAAATCCTCTGTAAAAGTAATCTAAAACATTTGAATTATTAGACTTAATGATTTAAATATCACTGACCATGTGTTATTCATTGTCCAATATCTGAACAAAAATGTATATAATATATAAGCTTTTATTTCACATTATATTGTATTTTGCAAGTTAAACATTACATAATACAATAAGGAATGCATTTAAATTCTGATTAAACATTGTAGGTGGTTGGAGCAGATGTACACCTGATTTCCACTCAGTTCACATGCTGTCCATTCAGTATATTACAGACAAGTTGTGAATTGTAGTTATAAATAGGAGTCTGTCCATGCAAGATCTGTGTGTAATAGGATTACCTTTACTTCTGTTGCCACATCACACTGACCTGGTTCTGTGTGACTCAGTAAAGTGACACGTTATTCTTGTAGTGTTTCCACAGGTTAAGACCTTTGCTTCCAGAAAAATTAACTCCTTCTTTAAACTGCATTCTGCCTAAAGCACATTTAGTAGAGTTATCATCAGAAAAGAGTGCCCACTAATGCATAAACAAACTGGTAAGAAGCGTGAGGTGTAAAGGTCAGATGCTCAGACCTTAAACTGTCTTGAGTCTAGACAGCCAGAGCTAAGATATTAACACATGCTCTGAAGACTGAGTGTTTCGTTAATGGAGACCTTATAAAGAATGTTATGCACTTTGGTCATTGGTTTCAGCTTCCTGTTTATAGTATAGCTGCCATTTTGATCACTTTTCATTTAAAGATATAATATTTTATTTTGAATTATTAATTACCGTGGCTACAGTGCAGATTTTCTTCACTCTGAAATCAGTGAATCATTGCAATATGTTTTGTTTTCTTTGGGAATTGGAAAAATAAATTATTTAATACTCAAATTGTGGCCAATGTTAGTTCCATTTACTCACCACATTCCCAGACCTCACAAAATGGCACACATTGTTACAAAGAATGTTGATTTATTTGTGTTTTAATATTATTTCGCTTTGAATTCTTGCCTTTCCTTTGGACCTTGTTTCAGTGAGTTCAATACTATTTTTTCATTCTAAAGTTTAACATAACACATTCACATCAAATAACTTTATTTGTGTCACTTCAGCTAATAATAGAAGATTAAAAAGAAGAAGGAGGATGCAAAGGACTCAAAAGAGGCTAAACTCAATGGAAGTGAAACCAAGCCTAAGAAATCAAAGACAAAAAAGCATGAAGAGGAGGATGATGAAGATCCACCTGTCGAAAAAAGTGTGTGACAGATAAGCAGAAAACATATTTAAAAACATGATCTAACCACATTAACTACAATCCTCCAGCTGGGAAGAAAGTGAAGAAGAAGAAGTCAGAGAAAGAGTCTGAACCAGAGGAAAAGGACAAAGAAAAAGAAACTAAGAAGAAAACGAAAAGTGTTCCCAAAAAGAAAAAAGGTTGGTCAAAATATCTGTAATAATAATAATGATAATAATAATAATGATAATAATGATAGATTTACAAAGCACTTTTTGGACTTTCAAAGACCATACATTGCATTATTCCTTCACTCCACATCTTGTAGTAGTAAGCAGTTATTGTAGGCACAGAAAAAGCAGGGGTGTTTGTGCCATCGGCCTCTCCAACCACCACCATTCACTCATGCACACATCACATTCACAGTGGCTTAAGTGTCTTTAATAAATCATACAACAACAGTAAACACAAGAGCCACTGCTGACCCACCATGCCACCTGGTATTTCCCAGGGTTTCCCATCCCCAGTACTAACCAGACCCACCCCTGCATAACCTCCAAAATCGAGATTCTGAAGGTGTTAAAGCTGCACATAAAATAAATTGACATTGCTATTAATATACATGTGTAATATATTTTTTGCAAGTATTTTAATTAATAACTTAGCTTTTCCCTTTCTGAAATTGCACTGTCAGACAGCTCAGATGATGATGACGATGAAGATGAGGATACGCCTAAAAAGAAAACCAAAAAGAAAATGACAAAAGACAGCTCCCCATCGTCAACGTCTGGAAAAGAGAAGAAGTCCAAATCTAAAGGTAAAAAATAACCACTCCACTGTCAGACACACACATAAGAGGATTGTATTGTGTAATACAGTGACAGGACAAATAATACAGAATTAAGAGGCTTCAGGTTAAATATAGAAAAAGGAGTTGAACTTCTAATCTGCATGTTTCAAGAAAATGACACAATATGGTTAATTTCACAATGCTGTCTATTTTTAGTCAATTTAACCAATGTCAAAGAACAGTAGGAGCTGTATACTAAAGATTATACAAACAAAAACTAAAGCATATTATTTGAGTCTGCCTTATTGGTAACACTATATAATAATGGTAATGATAATATGTGTTATTTCAAAATAACATAGCTCATGTTTTACTTTCACTTTTTATTCAACATTTAATATGTGATTCTACCAACTGGTTTAGCTGTCATGTGCTATTATTGTGTGCAGTTACATTTCAGATTTTGTCTTTGAGCTAAACCTGGCCTTTCCTCCTCACAATCACCTCAGCGTTTCACTTGCACTGACTTGTGTTTGTGATTTGAAACTCCTCCTTCGATTCCACAGAGAGCCCTGTGGCCTCTCTATTATCTGTGGCTTTAGAAATCACCTAGTCTGTTTATTATATAATTTTATTTGTTTAATTTAAAGGTGCACTATTTAACTCTTCAGATTGGAGGCTTGCTATACCTGCTTGTCAAGAATGTTATTTCTTTGCCTGGTATGTTCCACTAACCTGGCTCATGCCAGAATGATGTGTGTATCACTCCAAATTGACTTCAGCACATAATCAACCTGAAACGCCTCTTGCTGAAAACAATTTGAAAAAGCAAAATGTCATGACGATTATTTAAATCTGATTAGTCGAAGCATCACAATGGCAGAAGAAGCTGAAAGTTTTGTTTCACCCAATTAAGAGAAAAGCACAGACATATTCTCTGTTTACAAATGCTCAAAGCGCCTTCTGCATGTTTTCCACCAACAAAATAGTCCACATTGGTGCTAAAATAGGCTGAAGGGTGTCTGTCAGCATCGCCATGTTTGTTTGGGTTTGTTTGAGTGCTTTACCTTTGGTGATTGGTTGCCCACCACCTGTAGGGCCCCATTGTACCAGTGGGCACACTCCAAAATTGATTCTTGTGAGTTTGTGAACTCACAAATATCGCGAGAATCTGTCTTGCTGTGCAAGGTTAATGTTCCACAGTATGGCATACATGGTGCTGGCAACTTTCCAGAGGAAAATTGTAGACAAAGCAATCATATGTCCATGAAGAACCCACCAGAAAGGTTACATTGAGCACCTTTAAATTTTGAAAATGACAATGATAATATACACAGACACATCAGATTTATTTAGTGTATTTCAGCAGAATCAAGGCAATCTGTCAGGTCAGTCTTACGTGGTAGTGATAAGCTACTTCTTTTTCCCCACTGCTGAGTGGCTGAACTGTGTCTGCCAATCGGCTGCCACCAGTTGCATACGGACACAGATTCAGACAAAACTGGTGAAGAGTCTTTCCCAAAAACAATTCACAAAGAAAGTTTGTACAGGTCAGAACTAACTGCCAACCTTTGGGTTTCTGAGCGAAGGCTGACTCACTGCCACCATCCTTGTTTTATAGACACAGACCATATGTTCTGAAACCCTTTACAGTATGTGTGTTGTTAACTTCTAACCCATTGTAGATGATGTACTGTATTCCACTAAGATGTATTTCCATTATCTGTATATTTGTACTGCTTTTGTGTAGTGTATTTCTGCTGTTTCAACAGTTTCCTGAGAGCAGTGTCTTTACTATACAGTCTGCTTAACTGCATAGACTGTTTAGAAAAGGAACCATATAATGTGGAACAAAACAAAATAATACACATGTTACATATGCAATGTGTTCTTTAGATGACAAAGATTCTGACGGCAAAGAAAAAAAGTCCAAGTCAAAAGAAAAGGACAAGAAGAAAGAACCAGCCTCGATGTTTCAGATAAATGGAGACAAGGACTCTAAACCCAAAAAGAAAGGTTATGATTGTTATTATTATTATTATTTTCAGTTGTTGTTTAATCCATTTTATTTACCATTGTCCAATTACCTTTACACATAACAGCTGCAAAATCAGATAGTGAAGACAGTGAAGAGGAGACCAAGCCTAAATCAAAGAAGAAGTCCAGTAACTCAGCCTCATTGTTTGTAGTGTCAGATGACAAGGACAAGGACAAAGGCAAAGACAAGAAGACCAAGAAAAAAGGTAGTCACACAATTACAACTGGTTTGTCATAAAATATTCAAAACAATATATTTAACCATGCCGCTTTCTGTTTTAGCTAAGAAAGAAGAAGAAAGTGACTCAGAATCTGAAAAAGAAGAGAAATCTAAGAAGAAGAAAGGAAAAGGAAAAAAGAAAAAGGTACTCATTGAGGATTTTAGACATGAGCCCCTCATTAAAGTAAACTCTGTAACTTTTCTGGTGAGGTGGGTGTCTGCTTGTCTTCATGTCTCCATAGAGATGATACTGGTTTGGTTAAAGGTTGTATGGAGGATTTTTTTTTGTTTCAAATTGTCAATGATAGCATTATAGAGATGCAGTAGCCTTGTAATTATGATGACCAAAAAAAAGAGAATAAAAATTCATCAACTCTGGACGTGGTGGGGCCAGCTAAACATTTGCCAATAGATAACGACACTGCCTCATTATTTGTTAGCTGACAGGCTGTCAATCAATCTCCCTACGTTTTTAGCGTAACTGACTTGACTGCGCGCCGCCGGTACATGGTTTACGTACGACTGTCACGCAGTCCACAGACGCAAGCCGCACAGACGCTGTTTACTCCACCAACGCAACAGTTCTTAGCGGCTTTTTTTTACCTATATCTTCCTCACAGTTCGCACAAAGTTTGTTGCAATGGCGACAAGAATCCAGGAGCAGTTATCCACAAAAGAAAGTCCGTTTTTGAGATTGCTGAAAGAAGAAGACAAGGGGAAAAGCAGCGAAGCCAAACTAAGGTGATTCTTGAAGATTCATTCCAGCGATGGTGCGACTGAAGCAGACGCAGGGTCTAAAGACTGACGCACTGGTCACCAAAAATCCGTGTATCATTCGTTCATTCGTTTTTCAATATAAAACCAAAAATAAGAAAACGAAAAAACAACAGTTTTCTTCGTTATTTGTCTCCAAAACCAAAATGAAAAAACGGATAACGATTCGTTTTTTCAGTTTTCAATTTTGTGTTTAAATGAAGAATGGAAAAAACGGATAACGGCCGTTTCCCGTTTACGTGACTTCCGTGACTGCGATGCCGAACTTTTGCACCGCATACGGACTGAATCAGGACTGATCCAGGTCTGAGACCAGAGCGGGACTGAGACCGAGACCAGAGCGGGACTGAGAACGGGTCCTGCCGTGGGCTCTGAGCCTCCGGTCTGGTCCCGGTCTGGTCCTGGTCTTGTCTCGGTCTCGGTCTCAGGCCCGCTCTGGTCCCGGTCTGGTCCCAGTCTCAGTAGCGCTGTGGTCCCGGTCTGGTCCCGGTCTCAGTAGCGCTCTGGTCCCGGTCTGGTCCCGGACCTGGTCCATTTGAACCAAAAGCTCTTAGTTCGATTCATTTTCATTGGTGTGAATGCGTCAGTCGGATGCTTTGCACCACCTCGGAACCAGCCGCGGTTCTTGAGCGCAGAGGACCGGAGCAGCTCTGTCCCGGTCTCAGTCCTGCTCTGGTCTCGGTCTGGTCTCGGACCTGGATCCGTCCTGATTCAGTCCGTATGCGGTGAGACTGGGACCAGACCGGGACCAGAGCGGGCCTGAGACCGAGACCGAGACAAGACCAGGACCAGACCGGGAACCAGACCGGAGGCTCAGAGCCCACGGCAGGGCCGGAGCTCGAAGCTGAGGCTCGGACCCCGTGGAGGCTCGGAGTCAAAGCTCGGAGTCCGCCCTGGTCCCAGTCTGGTCCCGGTCTGGTCCCGGTCTCAGTCCCGCTCTGGTCTCGGACCTGGATCAGTCCCGGTTCAGTCCGTATGCGGTGCAAAAGTTCGGCATCGCAGTCACGGAAGTCACGTAAACGGGAAACGGCCGTTATCCGTTTTTTCCATTCTTCATTTAAACACAAAATCGAAAACTGAAAAAACGAATCGTTATCCGTTTTTTCATTTTGGTTTTGGAGACAAATAACGAAGAAAACTGTTAGTTTTTTCGTTTTCTTATTTTTGGTTTTATATTGAAAAACGAATGAACGAATGATACACGGATTGCCAAATTACTCCTGGACAGGTCACTTCTGCTTATTATGAAAACGTACTTTATTTCCAAGAGCTAGACAAACGTTTTTCAGGACACAAAAGCGATATCCTATGTCTGAAAACGTAATTTTCAAGGCAAAGAAAGAGTCCGCTTGCTGCTGCGTCTTGTAGTTAGTTCATTCGCACTGAATCTCTGCGCAACCTTCTCTGCACCCCTTCCTGCTCCTCTCCCCGCTGCCCGTTCCGCTCTTCCCCCTGCTCCTCACTTCTCTGGGCACGGAATCTCCGCGCACCGCTCCCCTCTCCTCTCCTCTCCCTGCTCCCTGCTCCGCTCTTCTCCCTGCTCCTCACTTCTCGTCCGCGCATGAAATGTCCGCACACCCGCTCCCCCCGCTCCTCACTTCTCCGTCTTGCCTAACCAACACTGTAGTTAGTTGTTTACAAGTCATGTGCAGCTCACCGGCTGTAAACAAACCTGTTTCTGGCGTAAGGAGGAGGCGGGAGGAGGCGTTTCTACGTAGGAAGCTGTAGGGGAGGGGGGGTGGTTTCACGCATGCGCAACATTTGAAAAAGGACAAACAGTCGCTGGATTTCTCGTTCCTTGGAAAATCCTCTATACAACCTTTAAGGGATGTACCGATCTGATACTGGTGTCGGTATTGATATCGGAACTGAAAAAGCTGGATCGGTGCATCACTCCTTTGGCTGTTAAAGAATGTTCCATGTTATGACGGTGGACTTATATATTGTTCATTTATTAGATTACAGATATCTTATTGCTAAAAGAAAATTCCTTGCACTCTTACTCTGTGTGGACTCGCCTCTTTACATTATAACCTAATTTGGTCCGGTGGAGTGACCAGCTTTTCTTCATGGAGACTGATAAGTTTAATGCTGCTAAGCAATGGCAGATCCTCAAAGAGAAACATTACACAGGATTAATTTTTGAAAAATATCAATTATAATTATGCACTGTTTAGGCAAGATCTCCATCACCAGAGATTGAGTTTGACAACTTGGAGAAGTTTGTGTTAGAACCAGCACCTCAAGGTGTCACAGTCAAATGTAGAGTGACCAGGGATCAGCGTGGGGTGGACAAGTCTCTCTATCCACTGTATTACCTCCACCTTGACAATGAAAAGAAGGTAAGACTTTTTTCAAACTAATTATGTGTTTTTAAATTATTTTCTTTATTTTAAATGAATTCTTCTTTGTAGACATTTTTATTGGCTGGAAGGAAGAGAAAGAAAAGTGCCACTTCAAATTACCTAATTTCAATTGATGCAACTGATCTGTCAAGAGGAGGAGATAATTTTGTTGGGAAACTAAGGTAGTCTAAATGCAGCTAATTGTTTGTAACATTAATTGTTGTTCTAGGTGATTCATTAATCCTTTTTTCCCATTCATCACAGGTCAAATTTGATGGGCACCAAGTTTACTGTGTATGATAATGCCCTGAATCCTGAAAGGGCGCTTCCTGACATGTCAAATGCACGTCAAGAGTTAGCTGCAATCATATATGTATGTAATATACCAGCGATGTACAAATACAGATTTGTTTGTCAAGAGTATTTTTTAATCTTTATATTTTATGATGCAGGAAACAAATGTTTTAGGAATCAAAGGTCCTAGAAGGATGACAGTCATTATACCAGGAATGAACAAAGACAATGAACGAATCCCTCTACGACCCAGAAATGTATGTCTTTTGTTTCTAATTTTATTAACGCTGTATGTTATATTTAATGTACATGGATTTGATGTGGGGGTCTGCACATCATTGTCTCTATGGAGATGTTATTGCATCTTTGCATGGATTTGCTAAAAATTGTGGGGCCACCTCTCCACAAATCTGACTTGTACCTTTGCATAGTGGGGCCACCTTCTTGCTTGATAAGATATATTTGATTAACACCAGCTCATGGAATATTCCAAGCAAAGCAATCACATCTCAATGGATGGAGACGAGCCATAAAAGTTACATATTGCACCTTTAAGCCATCATCATTGAATGTTTTTTATACATTTTTGCATGGCAGGACTATGATGGCCTGCTGATAAGGCATCAGAACAGAAGGATGGATAATCTGATTGAGCTGCGTAATAAAGCTCCAGTTTGGAACGAGGAGTCATCATCGCATGTGCTCAACTTCAATGGCCGTGTCACTCAGGCCTCCATCAAAAACTTTCAGATAGTTCACAGCAATGACTGTAAGTACTGCCTACAACTATTTATAGATTTGTCATGAAATAGGAATGATTCTGACTTCATCTTTAATTGTGTTTTCAGTGGACTACATTGTGATGCAGTTTGGACGTATAGCTGATGATATTTTCACTCTGGACTACAACTATCCTATGTGCGCCGTTCAGGCCTTTGCCATTGCTCTATCTAGTTTTGATGGAAAAATTGCCTGTGAATAAAATACTCCAATTCGTCATACAATCTATTGCATTAATGTCAAACAAATGGTGTCAGTTTGGGTTTGTTCATCCTAGTTTTTTAGCTTAAATTATTGTTGCTTTTTATTTGACTTTTTTGCCGTTTTTGAATTTTTATTTACTTTGAACAATTTATATGTGTTAATGAAATCTAATAAATGTGAACTGAGTATAAATATTACTGTTTTTAAATTGTTTTGTGTGCATAATCTTAGTAAGTCAGGCTAAGTGGTAGGCAAAAAAATCTGTAAAGATTCCCTCCAAGTTTTAGGTGACACCTATGCTTTTCTTGAAGAGTGACTGAACACGTTAAAAGAAGCTCCAGAGGAAGAAAAACCTGTTTGAGACATAGGCCCCAAGAGTCAGAGAGGTGTGTATTCTGCCTGAACCTGCTCAGGCAGTTGTCTAAACTTGCTCAAATTAAACAAAGCCTCAAGCTGCCAGCAATTCTACAGCAGAAAGAGCTCATTTGGAGCTTTTGCCTTTTTAAATTACTATAAAGAGTTTGCTGCGATCACAGTCAGGCATTTAATTTGGTGCAGCCCTGTTGTTGACCATTAGAAGGAGCTGTTGGAGGGGGTAATTGTGTTCATGGATTCGTGTGAAACATGCATGTCATCAGTGTTTAGTTTGTTAATTAGTTTTGGTTTTGTCTCTTTCAGTGGGTTATTGCACTGACAGTTTACACACCAGTTTGGCCAACAAATGTAAATAACTGTTTGTAACAATAGTTCTTGGGGAGTTGAATATGTCACCGTGTGTAAGAAAATGTCATTTTAATATTGAGAGCATATTGGTTAAACTTTAAATTAACGGTTATTTTCGTGCATAATGAGAAGTGCGTAGCACACACTTACGTCTTTGTGATAGTTGCTGTTTTTCCTTGACATTAAACTACCAAGGGAAATTAGCCACGTTGACTATTGTTGTTATTCAGGCTATTTTATTTCCTAAGTTTTAATGTTATTTTGCACAACAACTGGCAATAGTAGGCTATTATTTAGCTTTAAATATCTATTGAATGAAGCCAAATCTTTACAAAGAAATCCCCCAGGCACAGAAATCTTAAACCCTATTGACTAAACTGTTCTATGTCTCTGTGGTTTTTTTTTGGTTTTTTTTTTTGTTTTTTGTTTTTTTTTACCTTTCAATCTATTGGCCAGTTGCTCATCACGTTGTACCTACCATGAATTAGTCACTTTACAGATGCGCCAGTGTCCGGTGATGAGATGAGAAGGCGCTGGGCTCTGGCTGGGCTCTGGCTGGGCCGGGTTTGCCCTGCAGGTCCCGCCCCTCTGCCTGTTGATTGACGCTCACTGATGGCTCCTCCTCAGACGCTTTTTTCCTCCCCCTCCGTTTTCCAGTGTAGTGCGTTGATTTCATACCAAAGTCATACTTCACATTCCACTTATACTGTCAAACCTCCGAGAAATATTACGGAAAACAACAAGGCGCCAAATTATAACAAAGTAACTCAAATTGAACAGTAGCCCTCAGTAAGTAAACGGAGGTAAAAGGCACAATAAAGAGGTAAGTTTTCAACTTATGCTCGCTCTTTCTGTTTACAGACTTTTCAGCGCAGTTTTTTCATGCCGCTTGTCTCCGTGAAGTTTTCAGATCATTGTCATTTTTTACATTTTTCCGCGGAGCTCCCTGCGTTGGGAGGGAAGAAAACATTAGGAGTTTGATAGTCTATTGTAAATGACATAGCCCGTGTGCAGTGATAAGTTTGACAAGCCCTGTAGGCTGTTCATTAATATATATTTTAGCCGGTGCGCGCTCGATTACTATAGTGGAAAGGTTGCCTTTGACAGCACAGAAGTCTTCAACATGTTGGTTTTGTTTGTCACTCAGTTTGTACCTGGATCCTACTCTTTTGGCCTCGTCCCTCAGAGGAATAATCTGCACTTATATCTACAGGAACAACGAAACAAACCGCAGCAATTTGGAGGAAAGCTACACGACTTCAGACTGTTCTCAAAGTAAGGACCACAATTTCAATATGCAGGCTTTGGCATTTGTAATGACCTGATAATGTTACTATCATAGAATAGTCTATTCAAATTTACTTAAGTTTTTTTTATTTAAATTAAATACTACAAGATGTATTCTGAATTTTTGTTTAAAAAAATAAATAAAATAAGGATGAAAAGGTTTGTATTAAAACAGGCACAGACGATTTTTGCTTAACATTAGGTATTGTAAATTTGCATTTTCAGTTCATTTTCATGTAATGGTACCCTATGACATAAAATATTCTTCTATTTATGAAAAACAGCATTTGATTATGCCTCAACATAAAGAGTGTAATTTTGGTAAAGAAAAAATATAAAAATACTATACATAAAAAATACTGTTTATACAAGGTTTATGTAATACATTTATAATTATCACAATTATTATAACTGTTATAACGATTACTATTACTTCTATTACTTAAAAAAAACAAATACATATATATATATATATATATATATATATATATATATATATATATATATATATATATATATATATATATATATATATATATATATATATATATATATATATATAATTTGTGCTTTTTTTGGCACACACTGTCATGTTTTGACACTGTGAAGTCTCACTAAGCACATAATTCGTAGGTGAGGATTTGTGATGCATGGATATGTGCTCTGGCTAATTGTATAATTAAATAAGGGCAGCTTGGGTCTACACCTGCTGTAGTGTGTGGAAAAGCTTTTTGATAAAGCTCATTGTTGAGGCTTGTATTTTTTTTTTTATCTATGTATTCTGTTTGAGGAAATATCTCTTTCTCTTTTTGTGCCGTTGTATAATCTTTACTAAATCACAGTGATTGCCTGTCATCCGGTTGACTCAGTAGAATGCAGTTAGTCAGGTTATTCACAGTAAGTAGAATAACCTGTTAACAGTCAAGTCTGACCCTTTCAAAAACAATAGTATTAACAGTTTCTCTTTAGCTTATGTTCAGAGGAAATTCACAGATGCAGTTTTTTGATAGCGCTGTACTCAGATCAACAGACGGCTGAACTCCAGAGTCATTTGTGTCGGTGTGATCCAGATGTTCAGTTCAACACGTATGGAGTACTTTCTGCTGGTCTTGTCAGGTCACTGTGTCTTTCTTCTTGCACCCTTTCTTTATTGCCATGTGGAAATGATGTTCTGAAATCAAACAACCATCCAATACAACCAAACAATGTGTGCTTGGTAAATGAGACACGCCAAGACGCCTAATAATAGATTTTATGCTGATGGTTAAATCTGGAAAGGATTAGGCATTCTGCTGTTCCCCTGGTTTTTATGCTGCATGAACGAATCAAGCGCCTAAGACAATGTGCTCCTTTTTTCTTCAGCTTTATGCTTCATGATTTGTTGTGGATTTGCCTTCTGTGCTTGTGTGAAAGTTCAGTACAAGAGGAAAGTTTTACAACTTCTCTCATGCCAGAGGTCAATTAGATTATTTGCAGTAATATCCCCTTAAAGTGGCCGTTTTCACTCTTCCAGTCCCTGGTGAAGTCTCTAAAGCCACTCATCAGAGGCTCCTCTGCTATGGGACTCTCTTTGTCATGTTCTATCTATCTATCTGTTGTACATTAGGGCTGAGTTGTTAATGGAATTTTCATCAGTAATATATAAGGGTCTTTTTAATAGTGAGGTCTACAGCCAGTGCTCTGTCAGTAAAAGCATGTGGTTTGGAGCGGAGTTCAAACTTTTGAGGAAGAAATTTGACTACTAATCCATAAAAACATAAATGTACAAAACTATATTTCCAGTATTATGAATTAGAAAGATCCCACAGTCACTAAACCTTTGGACACTGCTATAAAATGAAGGGTTCCAGGGCGCTCAGACTGTTTGCCCTGGATGCAGGTCTGATGACTGTTTGTCAGTGGAAGCTTCACCAACTTGTGCTAAAGCCACAGGAGAACAGCTAATGAGCTTTGGCCCATTTGTGCACTCTTTGTTTTGGTTTTAGCACTGTCTCCAAAAGTGCTCATCCAAATGGTGGACACTTGCCCCTCTGTCAACCCCATTCTGGACAAACAGCTCTCATATGTGCTTCTGATGACACAGAACATCTTTGAGACAGTCTAAATGAACAGTTTACTACATCTTATTGCTGTCTGGTTTAGTGTAGTAATTATTACTGATGAAACCCGTCAACATTTATCTCTTTTTAATCTCTCATCTTTTTTGTCACCATTCAGATTATGGCTATTCAATTATGAAAACACTAAAATTATAATAATTAAATAGTGATTATAATGATCAAAATTATGACTTATTTAGAATGAGTCAGAGTGGTGCCCCAGTGTGCTTAAAAATGAGAGAGAACGAACAGATAAGATGGAAGCAGGAGACATTTCATGCACCAAAACAACAGTCGTTATTCCACATGTAAAAAGCTCCAACCTCCCCCAACTTTTAATGGTCTCACCCAGAAATACATTACAGTTTTTTGGAATTTAACTGATTACCTTCTGCATTTCTGCATGAAAGGTGCTTGCCTTGCCCCGTCATTTAACATTTAATATTACTTAGTTGTTGAAAGAATATTTTCTTCTATTTTCTTCTGTACACATACATACATACATACATACATACATAAACAGTTTTACTATATATATATATATATATATATATATATATAATATATATATATATATATATATATATATATATATATATATATATATATATATAGTAAAACTGTTTATCTAATTTAACTTCAGGGAGTATGAGGCACAGCCCTAAATATTCGCCTGTTACTACAGTCATTGTGCATACTATAACAATTTATCTACCTTACATCCATGTTAAAAATGTTAACAAACAGTGCATGTGTTTACATATGCTCCACATCATGCGTTTTTTTTTTTTTTTTTTTTTTTTTTTTTTTTTTTTTTTTAAGATAAGCTTTTGGGCCTCCTGTTAGGACCACTGAGGGGAGGAGCCTGGACACGAGAACAGTACTGCCTTTGTGTGAGTTGTCCCCAAACGTTTTAGTTGTTCTTGCTGCAGCGACCAACTGTTACAAATGACATAAATGTGCTTTGAAGAAAGGTGAGGAGGAGAGGAGCAGAGGAGGGCATTGGCTGTGCGGGTGTGTATGCCAGCGCCTGCCTCCATTATAGATAACAGGACTGTAGCAATGGGCCAGGCTGGTGCTCTGTGGAGGAGTATGTGTGGCCTGTGTGTTGCACCCAAGCTCCACTGACCCAAGGGCACCCATGTGAAACCCCTCTAATCCCAGCACTCACACTGTTTTGGGTTGGGGGATGATCCACTAACAGCCTGCGTTATTGTTTAAATTTGTTCTAAATATAGCTGCACACAGGTGTCAGCGGGGATTATAGCAAGGAATCTGCATTTATAATTAACAGTGCAGTTGAGGATAACTACCTGATTATAGGATAATAATTTAATGTGAATGTTAGCCTTGCAGCAATATTGTGGATTGGCAACCAGAGCTGTCAGTTGTAATTGTTTTCTGTTTCCTAAAAAGTTCTTGTTTTAATTTTTCACCTATTTTGTAAACACATGGTGTGCTGATATGAATATTGGAAACAATGCCAAGTATCAATTCTCGCAATAAAAAGTCACAAATCAAAGTACTGCAATACACATCCAAAAACAGAAACAGTTGCAGCTCAAATCAGGGTCAAATCAACAGAGCATTCACAGGAATTTGAATAAATCAGATTTGTGTAGACCGAATATGAAGCTCAGTGCTTTTTCAAGTTCACATCTAACTAATGTTTTTTGCTGTGGTCTGTTTAAAGCACAATAAGCGTGTCTTTGCAGGGCAGGGATGGATCTCTATTTACAAGCATTTACAATAATCTAGGAGGTGATATCATGGGATTGTGGATATTTTTATATGTACTTGAATTGCATCACCTATTGGTTTATATTTCCGCATGTCTCAAACTTTTTCCCTATGAATCCCTTCCTATCAGGCGCAGATCAGAGCCACAAAAGCCCTGTTCCATTTTATGTCCTCAGATGAGTTATTGGCCCGTTGCATTCGAGTGTGGAGTTATGTATGTCCTGAAGGTTTCACAGATTATGGCTTCAAACCGCTCCCTTCACCACAAAATGACCAATTCAGACGCAAGAGTCTTCTCCGTTATGCTCCCTGGAAAATTTCCGATTAAAACGCTGATTCAGGCTGTATGAGAGGCTCTCTGGCGCTCTCCCTTCTGCTTTGTGTCAGTCTTTCCCTACGCTCTTGGATCACAGCTTTTCAAAGGCTTTTAAAGTGTTAACAGTACCAGCTGCACTGTGAGATAAAATAAAACAATGGCACAGGGAGATATTAAAACATCTAGCAAGCCTCATTTTAGCATTAACGCTAATATTTTGGGTGTTATGGGAAATACACAAGTTGAATGCCTATCTCAGTTAAAAGTCAGGATTCACCTAATAGAATAACAGTTTTGCATACAATACTATATTTCTGTGGACATACAAAGTTTATGTATGTATGTCTATGTCCTTTAGCTGGTTGCCGTGTGAGCGGCTGTCCTGCCCTTCTCTCCCTCACTCTGGGCTCTGATTGTTTCCTGAGCGCTGTGCCAGATAGGAAGTAGGAGGAAGTTATTGGAGGAGCTGGGGAGAATTTATTAGGCCCAAACACAGACACTGAAAGAACAGGGGAAGCTGGTCACTTTGATTTTTTTTGAGGTTTTTATAAGTGTGAGGACAGCAAAGGTGTTGACTATTAAAGGAGAGGAATAAAGTTCGCTGACATTTGCAAAAAACACAAAATTGTCACTTTAAGCTTCATTTACATCATGCTTTGGCACAGGATCATGGTTGCTGGAAAAAGTTTGTTAAAGATAGTGTTGCTTATTCAGCTTTTATTTTGCTAATAATGATTCAACCAAAAAACACCAACTACAATGACTTATGACTTATGAACATGTCAATTTATACAATTGCTTCACTGCCACTGGCAACATCCAAAAGAAAACTA